GTTGGAAAAGTTTTTAAAGTTAAAGAAAAAAAAGATTTAAAAAATAAAATAAAATTTATTTGTTAACAATTTGTGTTAATATTATATTGGTATAAATAACAACTTTTTAGTTTTATTAATTTTAGTGTAAAATTGATAAAATGTGCATATTTTCATAAATAAATTTTATTTTTTAGATTTTGTATTGGTAACTATAGAGTGGATGCGCCGGGGAAATTAAAATTGAAACAAAATTGTACAATATTTTTCATAAATAATTGTATAAATTAAAAGTTCTGAACTATTAAACACAATAATTCCTAAAAACACCTTTTAATATTTTATTTGTTTACCAAACAAAAAATTTTAAATTTTTATTTTTGAAACCAAAATTCTGCACAACAACAACATTAAAACCACAGTTTAAGCTTCTCTCCCCTTGGCAGCCATGCCAACCCTGCCTTCTCAAGCTTTGCTGTTGTCTTTGCTCCAAGAAAGGATTGCTCCTGGATTTGTTGCTGCGCGTAGACAAAAGCTCCACTGTGAAAATGTTGCGCGCGCGAAGATAGCGCCGAGCCGCTAAGTAATTGCCGCCCCCCAACGATTGCGCAATTACCGCGGGCGCGCAATTGCCGCCGTGGATTCCGACGATTTCGCCGTCGTTTGTGTTGCAAAGTGCGGCGCTGCGTGCGCAGTCGTGACACAGCAATTAAATAATTATTGTTCAATTTCGAGCCGAGTTACACCAAAAGCTCGCACGGTGGAACGGGAGGAATTTGTCGCTTGGAAAACGACGGATAACTTGGAAAGTTTTCCACTTAAAGGGATAGAATAAACAATTGCTTGTTTATAATTTACTTTAGTATCTAGACAATTAGATAAAGTATAAATCAGAATTATTATACGAATACCTTTCAGAGAAATAAATATTTTTTGAAAAAAAAATTAAAATTTTGTCAAAAATGTAATTTTTATCAATAAATATCTTGAGCAAAAACACTATTTATGCAAACATAGACTTAAAAGGCTTTAATAATAATTAATAATAATTTTTAGAAATTTTTAAAACAAAATTTCAAATTTTAGCAAATTTTTTTCAAAAATTAATAAAATCTCAATTATTTCCTTTGTAAAAAACATGCACGCTCCATAAAAAGCCAAATTTATCCAAAAATTACTTAAACCAAGCGGCGTTTAACTTTGTGCCACTTGCCTTCAAAAACTTGCCGCGTACGCCAGCGTAAAGTAAAATTTCAGTAGCGAAACTTCTCCGCCGGCGAGAAAATTACAAATTGGGTTCAAATATTAAATAACATAATGTACAGCCGACGGGATGGGTCGACGGGTCGGCAGGTAGCGAGTGCGCCTTCCGAGACGCTTAAAAAGTTAATAATATAAGGCTCAAATTTGAATCTTATCAGCTTAAAGCGCAAAAGCGCATTCTAACATAGCGCAGCGGAACGCACGTCACATAAAGTTTAAAATATTTTAACCTAAGCTATAGAATAACATCATCATAGCATATATTAATACATTTTAATAATGTTTTACTCAAAACGTAATTTTAAATTAAAATTAAATTAAAACGAGCAAAATTTATTAATTTACATGCGTTTGAATATTGTGGAGGCGCCGGTCATAATTTTAATTTTCAGTAAATTTAGATCAATCTTACTTAGTGGATTTTTTGTAATATTATACCAAAGTCAATTTTTATCTCTAACGATGAAATATCTCCGGGATCACGACTTAATCACGCAAAATTGACTTATTACGATCACGTAGCCGGGCAGCAAACGCACGAGCGCAAATTTGACACACAAAGTTCACCCTCGGCGCGACCGTCGCAGGGATTTCGGATTTCAATTAAGTCACGCTCAAGTTCCACAACTTATCGCCGCGATCGCGGTTATTAGCTAATAAACGTGAGACGCCGCTGCCGGTCACTGAATTATTGCCCACAAAAGTGTCAAACTAACTTTTCACTCCCTTCCGCTCGCGTTTCATTACTTTAAAGGCAAAACAAATCAAATCAATTGCGGGGTCCAGATCAATTTAAATCTGACATTTGAATCAGAAATGTGTACGGATATTTGAGCCGATGAAACACGCTCGAATGGGCGAATTTCTTGAGCGGAATTCGAGTTGAACGCATGATTTATGGATCACAATTATCCTAATGCGATTTTCGAGTACGGCGCGCGCGCAATCAACGCCTAATTCATTCTCGATGTGCGGTTAAAGCGCCGGTGCGAATGGAGAGAAGCTCGCCGACCGGAAGCGGTGCAAAACAACGCGCCCGCAAGTGTTTAATTAATTGGTCTGCGAATGGTATACGCCGGCTGGGCTCACATTCAATTTAAGGAACGTTTTCTATAATTCAAATATTACTGGTATAGTGTAATTAATGTTAAACGCAAAGCGGTCATATTAATACAACAAAAATTTAATTAATATCAAGAACTACGGAAAATTAATTTATTTACTTCATAAACTAATTATTAATTAATTTATGATTTATATTTAATTGTTATTAATTTTATTTTGAAACAAAAATATTTTTTAAGAAAAAATATTTTTTTACAAATTTAACATAGAAAAAGATAGAGTGGAGGCGCCTGGCATAACTAATTATATTTTATTAAGACAAATGCAAAATTGTTTGCAATATCCATGAAAAAATCCATATTTTTTCTTCCCTGATTAAAATTTCCTTTGTCAAAATTGAACTCCGCCTAATGTAGTCCTGCGCAGCACACAATGCAAACTAATTAAGCAGGAGGCAAACGCTTAGGAGTCCTGCAAGCAATCGCCCGTTCCTTTGCGAGCGTCTGTCGGTTATATGCCTGCTGCAAGGAAACGTCGCGATTCCTGACCGCCCATTGTCTTCCAGACGGCGCAAAATTCGCGTTCGTTAATTTCCCCACAACTCCTTTCGGTCAATTAAAACGCGCCTCCTATCGCCTCGAAAATTAAGACTTTGCTCACAACTCCCACACCCCAACTTGGCCTCGCCAAACTCCTACGCCGCGCGAAGAAGTTGAAGTAGATGCACAATTAGAACTTTGAGACCTCGGGGAAAGAAGGTTTGTAAACAAATTTGGCGAAAATATGTAAACATGAATTTCGGAACAAAATATTTTTATTAAAAATGTTTGATGATTTATATTTTTCAAGTTATATTAAGAAACTTGGATAAATTTATGAATAATTACAATTTTTATTTTTTAAATACGTCAAAAATTATAAAAGTTACAAAGGTTTAAAGTTTTAGTGTAGACTGGGTGCCACGCCTTTCACTTCCTATACGCATGCGCTACTTAACACTACACGCCCACCGCTGTCAAGTCAAAACTTTAAACTTGAATAACTTTTAAACTAATCATCGTAGAAAATTCAAATTTTCGCTAGTCTTCTTAATATTAGTTACTAATTAATTATTTCTTTTAAAAAATACAAATATAATAATTTACTTTATGCTTACACTACAAAAACTTTTTAATAATTAAGTCTATGTGCTTTTCCGTAAAGTATAAAGTTCTTGCTTGCTTTGGTCAACACGTCCGCAGCGTTTCGTTGAAATGTTGAACTTTGAACTTAGTATCAAAGTCGGCAGTGCGTGCGAATTTGCACGAATTTGTCTAACGATACGGTCTAACAACAACCCGCGGGCTGCACCTCGCAGCAGGCGCACGAAGAATGCAAACGTTCACAAACCTTCTGTCAAAGTTGGCCGTCGCTCAAACTTGTACTTATCCTCAAGTTGGTTGTAATTTTAGCATAAAGGTAGCTAAATTTAACATAAAATACGCCTGAATATAATTAAACACACCTAAGTACACATACATCTATTAAATCTTTACCTTAATTATTTAAACTATTTCAGTAAATATTGTATAATTTTAATTTTTACTAAAAGTTAAATTTATGATCAAAAAAGTTTTTCGATCGTTTTTCATCGTTTGAGAACCCAAAAGTCTTTTTTTATCAATTCCTGGATAATCTATTAGCCCGCGAGCGGCGTAATTAATCTCGCGAGCACCTTCCGCTCACATAGTAGAGAATATAAGGGGGATGGCCACAGCTATCGATGCGCTAGCACGCCGACCACGCGATGGTATGCGATAGAATGAGGACCACAATAATCCAATTTATTCGCGCCGCAACTGCGGGCGAAGTTTCGCTTGCTTCTCCACGAAGCTAGAAAGCAATGAGAATGCGCATTTGCCATCAGCAAAACACAAACAAACACATACTAACTCACAAGGAAGCAGTTAAACAGCAACTAACTTGAATATATAGCCAAAGTTGTTAAACGAAATATTTATATATAGAAATTTTTTATTTATGAATTTTTAAGTTTTTCTTTATAAAATATTAGAAATTTTATAAAGAATATATTTTGAATTTTTAAATATCATAAAAATTAAAAAGTTATGATGATTTTAAGTTTAGGGTGCCACGCCTACCATGACGTAACTATTTAGGCAGCGCACGCACGCGTTATAATACACGCCCATCAATGTCACTTTCAATTTTAAGTACTCGTAACTTTTAAACTAATAATCGTAAAAATCTCAAATTTTTACAGTCGTCATTAAATTTTTATTACTTTCAAGTTTTATACGCAAATACAAAAAGTAATTTACATTGTGTTTTGGGTTGTCTATGTTTATACCAATGCATACAGTCATTAAACAGTGTGAATAATGTGGTGTAAAGTTCGATTAGCGCTTCGATTATTTATAATAAATTACTTCCGCTGCTGCATCGATTTCAAGATGATTTTGCGATTGCACTTGAACAATAGCAATTCTCTTAAAATACATGGAAGGGGTGAATTTCTGTTTTATGCGAGTTTGCACACCGAGTTTCGAAATAGCTGTACTTTAGATAATAGTATCATTAACTACAAAAAAAAACTAAAGTAAAAAAAGTTTGTATTTTTTTATTTATGTGATGATAATGAGTATTGTAATTATATACCGTTAATGATTTTATTTAAAAATAAAATTAATTACCTGATATTTTCCAAAATATGTCCAAATTTTAATTTGTTAAACTTCTGCACATAATATTCATGGATACACTAATTAACCTCACTTCAGCATGAAATAAAAATTCATCATTCACTTTTTTTACTTTTCAAAGTTTTATAAACTCGTTTTATAAACACGTAACCAGCGGGAATGCGAGAGTTGATGATACGAACCGCGACTATAACGGGATGTTGTTGCGCTCCGACAAGCGAGTCCCGACTGAAGCTCCAAAGCTTGGAAGCTGCGCGGATGCCGCGAATGCCGCGGATGCTGCGCCGCGGCGCTGAATTTCTGAATTTCTAAATGCGGACCGAACTCGGTCGGCGACGATTGTTCACTCTTCGTCGGCGCCAGCAACGCATACATTTTCATGCTTTTTGTTTTTTGCATCTTACGACTCAACTCTCGACTCGTCTCTACTCAACAATTCACCTGCACAGATCTATTTTAGTACTTCTGTAACACGAAATATTTTAAATCTTGATTTTTTGGTAAATGGTAAATAAATTCGTTTCTTTAGATAAGATTTGCGTGCGGGTATTGGTTGGCAGTTGGCATGAGTCGGGGTCGTAAATTTTCGGCGTTTTCGAGACAACTAAAACGTTAGAATCGCGCGTCCGGCCGAGTGCCACTTGCCCTTTTAGAATAACCCTAGTTTTCCAACGAAGCGCGAGCGCATCAAGCACCCATCGTTGAAGCAAGGGGTAATCTTGAGATCTAAGACTGCTTAGACCTCTTTAGAATCATGAGCATCGTAAACGTCGCAAGTGGTCTTCCTATAAACTTATCTTGACATAAATCTACCAATTTAAAACGTTCAAATGTATTTTTTTATATAAAAAATTAAAATTTATTACAAAATATTTTTGAATTTTTTAAATTCATTAAAAACTTTAGAAGATATAAGCAAAAACATAATTGGGAGCCACGCCTACTGTTACGTCACTGTTGCTACATGGAGTAGTACCAAGAGAAAGTAACCACGCCCCGCTGCGTCAAACAAAACTTTAATCACGCATAGCATGAAAACTAATAATCGTAAAAATCTCAAATTTAACACATGAATAATCTGTTTCGATAAATATTCCTCCAATAACATGGAATTTATTATTTACGTGTTTGTCAACGAATGAATTTTAAATCAAGGCAAATCATTGTAGGCAAACAAGAAAACAACTCAAATATTAATGAATTTTATTAAAAACAAAATAAAATCCTTACAATTGTTTCCGAATCCCGAATTAATTGTTTTTGTCTGATGTAAAAATACATATATAAATGAATTTGAATTATAAATGATGTTGTTGATTAATTTTCAATTCGACAAATTGATTAAAATAATTTCATTTGATAAATGCAACAAAATAAAATAAATTAACCTCGCCCATTGATTAAATCACGATGCATGAAATCGTTTCATAAATTATTCAATTTTCGACACGTGTGTGCAGTGTGATAAAAACGTTGAGTTAATATAATGACGCAGTTTGTTATATCGTGACAAAAACAGTTTGCACAAGCGTTTTCATTGAGTCGACGTGCAACGAGCTTAATAATGCGATCGAAGCCTACTCGGAAAGTGCCGCCGACACGTAGAAGAACTTGGTTTGAAATACAAAAAATGAAAACAATGCCAAGTGCAACGAGGAGTGTGAGAATGAGTCAGTATTGCACAATAACAATTAAACCGATTTTAAAGGTGGCGAGAGTTTTTGGTTTAATGCCGTTTACTATTAGTGAGAATGGTGTGGCTAATAGAATGAAATTTTCGAGGGGTTTTGGGATTTATAGTGTATGTTTTGCGTTGATTGCTCGTAAGTAATTTAACAATTAGTAATTAATTCTGAATGAGTGAAATTTTATTACTGAGTATAAAAAATTTTGAAATTTTTTATTTTATTTCAAACGTTATTTGAAATATTGATCTGTTTACAATAGTTTATACTGTATAAATAATTAATTATTTAAACATTGATTTTTAGTACTATAATGCTTAAACTTTTAAATTTTTTATTTTAAACTCAGTTATTGATAAAAAATCATTTTTAATCCAATTTTTGATTGTTTTTCTTGTTTTTTAGCCATTTTTACATTTTCTGGAGTAACAACTGACATATTAACCGGTGCATCTTCCGAAATGCAAAAACCTTTTGTGCGTACTGTTTCATTAGTTGACTTTTCAACAATTGCCATTACATACGTCACTGGAATAGTTACGATTCTTCTAAAAAAAGAAAAATTTCTAAAAATTGTACATCATTTTACACAGGTAATTATTTTCCCAAAAAAAAAAAACTTAAAATTGAAAATTTTAAAAATTTAATATTAATTTATTTAATTCTTTTAGATTGATGAAATTTTAGGCATGAAAAACGCATTAAAAGCATGACGTTACGCCATAAAATCGATTATTTTTATATACAGTGCGGCCGGATGTGTTGCACTTTGTCATAATTACATGACTGTAATTGCAATACCAGATTTAAGCGGAGGTCCATCTCCAGCGCCGTATTTCGTACCATATTTAAGTTCATATTTTATTTTGGTTACAATCGTCGGATTGCATTGGATATTATTAGACGGGTAAAAACATAACATAACATAACCTTTCACTTTCAGGTTATATTTTATTTTTTATTTGAATGTTTTATTTTTAGAGTGACAAGAAGATTGGCAACATTACAATTGCGACTGTCAACGCAAAATATAATATTTATTGCTAGTCCTACCAAAGATAACAGTACATTTGACACTTACATTCAAGGTTATTCCTCGGAGAAACAATTTTATAGTCCAAATCAAAGTCAGAGTTTAAATAACAGGAAACTGCAAACCGTAGGAAGTAAATTTATTATAAATGATGTGTTTAAAAATGATGAAAGATGCTCAAAGTCAAAGAATGCACTTTTGACTCCTGATTATGTGTCAGCGTTGATTAGCGTGTATGATCATTTATTTGCGGTGATGATTTTGTTTAATGATACGTTTGGTTGGACTATTGCTGTAAGTAATTTAATTTTAATTTATTTTTAAATTTTCTGTTAATAATAATAAAATATATGTTTAGTTTTTGGTACTAAATGCTACAATGAATATTCTGGTATCAGCGTATTATTTAGTTTTGGAGATATCAAATGATCCGCTTGTAATTTGGGCGATGGAAATAGTTTGGTGTATATTTCATACTGGAAGACTGATTATGATGGTGGAGGCGACAGATTCCATTAATAAACAAGTAAGTTTTTTATTAGAAAATATTTTTATTAATTTAAATAAATTTTTAAATAATTTTTGCAGTTAAGTGAACTTAGACCACAAGTACTTAAATTATTGATGTTAAATGTTGATAAATCAACTCGTAAACAAGTAAGTTTATATAAATGAAGTAAAAAAAATTAAATTTTTTATCGAAAAAATATAAATTTACTAATTGTAGTTAATATTACAGTTAAATATTTATTCTACGTACTTACTGCATACATCAAATTCACCATTCAGTCCCTGTGGATTGTTTATGTTAAATCGGAGAATATTTTTAAGCGTAAGTACAGTATTTTATGAAAACAAATAAATAATTTTAACTTTTTCCTATTTAAGATTATGGGCACAATTCTAAGTTACTTAGTAATTTTAGTTCATTTTGATACTGATGAACATGAAGACGATACCACATCAGGAAGTATATTCTACGATAATTATTAATTTAAAAATATTATAATATTTATTATAAGATTTAAATAATACAAAACTAATAATCATGTATTTTATATTAATATATTGTAATAAAAACTAAGCAAACTAACTACTATCTTGATTTCTGGATTTTACTGTTTCGAATTAAAATTAATTTAATAAAATAACGTCTGACTTTAATATTTCAAAATTTTGATACTTAAAATCATTAATAAATAATATATAATTACGTTTAACCGGCGATAATAATTTAATTGAATTTTAATTGAATTTTAATTTTTAGTGAGTACTGGTGTTGAACGTTGTTAATTGTTTCGTTTGTTGATAAATTTGTCGATTTCTGTGTTTAAGCTTTGCTGCGTTTTGGCACTCTTAAAGGACTTAAAATCGTCCTGCAATTTACTACCTATTGTGATTATAATTCTCACATTGTCTCCGCTTGGGTCGCTATGAAAGAATAAAGGCTCGAGAAGGAAAAGGGGGAATATACTTTGAAAATATGAATATTTTATTAAACAATGCGAGGGATTCCGCCGAGCGTGTGAACTCGATGGGTTTAGCGCAAACAAAAGTTCAAAGGTTTAAGGGCTTCAATGTTCCAAAAAGATTTCTATGTTATTTGTTTCGAGTCAAGCACAGTCTTGAAAGAGAATAAAAACAAAAACAAAAATAATGTACTCGTTGTATAAAATAGAATATGAAAAAAATAAGATTTTTTAATTAACATTTTTTTATAAAGTAAAAATAAGGAAAAAATACAAAAAATGTTCTAAAGGGATTAATAATTATCCGTTGCAAAAAAAATGTTTAAAAACATGTTTCACAACAGCCAAAAGCAGACGTAAAACTGTAAAAACGCACCTCGGCATGGAAAAACACAGAAAAAGTAAGCGAATTAATGTCTTTTCTAATCACTTCAACTTCGCTCAAGTTTTCCAGCGAAAGACTACTAAGACAGCAAGGAAAATGACAAAGCAAGTGGATTTTAAAGGGGTAATTATACAAATCCCTAGCAAAAAGATACTAAGATAAAAAAATGTAAAAAATTACCGGTAATATTTTATCTAAAAAAATAGAAAAAAATATTGAAAAATTATTCAAATTATTTTTGCATTTAATAAAACTTTATGTTTTAAATCACTTCTGAAGAAATCAGTTTTATTTGACTAGTAGTTTAGGAATTATGAAAGATTAAAATTTAATTTGACATTGAGGGGCGTGTAGTTTACGTGGTCACGCCTAGTGTGACTAAGCGATGACGTAATTGTAGGCGTGGTACCCAAAACTATAATCCTTTATATTTTCTGTAATTTTCATGCTAATTTTAAGCAACAAAAAGAATTTTTAATATTTTTCTGATTTTTAATTTTTATTTGTTGAATGATAATAAAATGAAACCATAATATTTTTTAACGACGTATATAAACCCTGATAATTGAATTAAAACATCCGTTAAGTAACGATTTTCAAAAAAGGTTTAACGCTCGCCGAATCCCGAATCCCGCACCCGCTGAATTCGGAGCTTATGTGCGTAATTTAAGCGGCACTTTGGAAATATGCAAATCCATTCGCGTCCGCATTTGCACATTTTTCGTGTCGTAACACTCGCGTTTTCCGCTCTCCGGCGTTTCGCGTTTTAATCCCGTCTGTGGAGAGAGTACATCAGCGGGCATATTTCGATATTTCAATATCTGGTCACTTGCCGATAACGGCATACCCGGCCCCCACTCGAATTCGATAAGATTTAATTAGCGAAATTGCGTCCGCGACAGCAGCGCGTCGTTTTTCCGTATCGGCGTGCTTCTTTCCGGCGGGCGTGAAGCAGCGGCGGTGGCGAAACGACTCTCGCAGATTAAATTAGACAAATTTAATTAAGAAATGCAATAATACTGCTTTATGTAATTCGGTCTCGGCGACACATTTCGTTTTATCATTTTCGGTACTTTATTTTAATTGAACGCTGATGAAAGAGTACCGCCGACACACAACCGGAAGGAGTTAATTTTAGATTTTGTTTTATTACAAAATATTTTATTAATTAATTAATATTAATTAAATTTACGTAATTTGAATCAAATTTTTGTTGAAAAACAAAAAATTTACAATTTTTAAAAATTTTGTAAAATTATTTTCATTGTGACAAAAGACATCAAAATATTTCATATTTCATAATATAATACAAGATGTGACAATGTTTTCATGTTTTACTTTTTGCAACTTTCGTTGCGATGTCCATAAAACATGTAAACCCTACTTTAGAGCGCATAAATAAAGAAATGAAGACGAAACGACGTGACACATAAACTTGACGAAAAGAACAACCCAACAAACACATTTGTCGCAGGTTTCCAGCACGCAGTATGAGTATTTATTGCCTTTTAAACAATAAAAAACTTCTCGAATGTCATACCATCAACGAGGCGAAAAAGAAAAACTTATCCAACATCTATTTTAATCATTTTAAAGCTCTTTTACGTTAAAATAACCTAATTTACTAACTAAAACATAAAGGAAAAGTTAAAGTTAAAGTGTTATCTGGACAGGGCGATTAAAAGTTTCTCTTTTAGGTTTTGTTCGCTGTGGTTTGGTTTTGGCAGGAAGAGCAGTGCTTTTAGCGGCGTAAAACTCGCTGTGTCCAAAAGGGTAGATTTTGGGCGGAAAGCGCGATTAGGGATTGAAAAACCACATATCATTCGATCGGGTCGTGTGATTTATTTATTGCGCATCTAATACACTTCTTTGGCACCGTTGTCCAGCCTCACAGCGTGATTTTTTCATCCGTCACGCATGGGTTTTGAAAAAACAAGTTTGGGTAAACAATCAGATGGAAATGCAATGAGATATTTTCTTTTTAAAACTGGAAATTGTTCAAAATTATGTTTCTAAAGGCCAAATTAATAATATTATATCAAATTTGCAATTTTTGTTTGTTTGTTACGCTTTCACGCAAAAACCACGCAACAAATTTTGATAAATTTTGGTATAAAGATGTTTTTGATTGAGGAAAAGGAAATAGGCTATTTTTTGTCGTATAAATTTAATTTAAAGAGTGTAAAATAAGGGATGAAAGTTGATATAAAAATTTAGTCATATATAAAGTTACATAATTTAAATGGAGATGGCGATCTAGTGCCCTATAAGCATTTCTGATTGATTTAAATTAAAATTTTGAATTTTTTGAATTTTTTGGCTCCAAAACTTGATACCAACTTTATTAATAAAGCTATAACCTCAAAAAACACCCATGTTTTGTAAAATTTAAATACTTTTCCATCAATTCACCAAACTGTTTTGTAACCTAAAAATTAAAATCTTTTCACGCATAAAATTCCATTACGTCGCGCCCAAATTTCAATTTTGTAATTCTACTGCTTTAGATAAATGCAGCTTGCGCCAACGCGTATGCGAATTTCTATGCTTTGCTGCATAATTATTCATCTCCGTAAATGTGTCGTGCGCACGACTTTGTGCGCTATTGTACCGCTTTTGTGCGTTTCGTCAAAGTGGCAAATCCAAATCCCAGTCCGGCGTGCCTATTTTTTTGCCGACGTTACTGTATAGCGCACATACACCTACATGTAAATCTACGCATGTGTGTGTGTTATCAAAGTTGAGCGCTGGGCGCTGGATCCAAAGCGTAGAGTCTCTTTTGGTCGGAGATATCAGCAGATTTTGCGGCAGTGCTTTTGTTGCGCATTACGCATCGCTTTGTGGTTTATTTATCGCATGCGAGAAAACAAAAATTCGTTACGATTTTTAATTAAACTTCCGATATTATCGCGTATTGCGGGCGTGATGCTAATGCGGGTGGATAAAAAAATTAGAATTATTGTGGTGAATTTTTATATTAACATGAGATTTAAAGCAGTGGAGGCGCCGGGCACATTTTTTCGACTACAAAAATACATAAATCTCTTTAAATTCAACAGTTTTAACCTGAAAACCTTTAAGTACACATTCTTACACGTGGTTTGGCATGGTTCAAGGATAGTCAAATCATATCGACACTCATCTCGATATTTATCGCTTTTCTGAGCAAATTTACGTGTCGCTTTCCCCGCTGCCATCTCCGCCAACCTTATTTACGACCTCACTTAGTGCCTTAGTATGCCGCATGGCAGAAAATCAATTTTTACCGGCCTGCAAGCGCGACCGCGACATCGACGCACCTGCACCGAATACCCAAAAAGGGCTGCAAGGGCAAGCTGTAAACTTCGAACATCACGAAGGGTTTTTGGTAACAAACTGAGCGCGCGGCAAACGTCACTTGCTCCTCGTAGTAAATACATTCATAAATCCAATGCGAGGATGCGAGAAAGCTCCGGGTAAAAGCTGCTCGAGAAGCTAATCCACATACGGAGATATATAGTGTAGGTTTTATTTGCATGCAATACACTGTGTATTTTATACGTCTATATACAATGTGTTTGAATGTTTTTTTTAGGTTTTTTGGAAGAGAGTTAACGCGACTGCAAAATTCCATCAGCATCAAACACGTTTATATTTTGTTTGCATGTTTGCTTTGACTGAGAGAGGTCCTCAAAGGTCCTGAGTAAACAGAAATTAATTTGCCTGAAGTGGAGGACAAGTGGGCGAGCAAGGTGAGAAGTCTTCTTGTCGAAAAGTGTCAAACAAATTGATTTTTGTTTGAGAAAAAGAGTAAAATTACGTTTTATTTTATAAATTTATTTTTTATTAAATCCTGATAAGTCTAAAACTAACTTGGATATTTATAAACTTTAGAAAGGGGCTTAGAGAACTTATAACTAATTAACAACAATTTATACCGTGTGTTTTAATTATTAAAAAATTAAATTTTTTTTCATTTGAATTTTTAGGTTAAATTTTATGAATTTATTAAAATTTAATGCAGTTTTAATTTTATATATTATTTTTTAACTCGTATGTTAAATTAATTTATAATTTACTAACGTAGTTAAATTATAATTACACGTGTGAATGTATAGTGTGGAGGCGCCGGGCGAAATCTCTGCGGTTCTAAACTCACATCATAATATTTTATTCGTATTGTTGAAACATAGTAATTTATTTACAAAAATATTTCACTTTGTGCGTCGCCATCGCGTTCGCACAAAGTTTAAAATATTCCTTTGCTTCATCCGCGCGCACGCCGCCTAATAAAATATTTATAATCTTAAGAAAGCGGGTTTTCTCTTTCCGCCAGGGCTAAGACAGTGAGTGCAGCGTGCGTTGGCAATCATATGCCGGTCGGCGAAAAACCGGACGAACAGCGAAAGCCTCGCATTTGTATTCCGCGCCGTTCGAAATTGGCGAATTTAAAAGGCAAATGCGTGTCCTCTGCGCACATTCCGCCATTGCCTCCAACAACGGGTTTGCGGTGCACAAAAAGAGGCCGCTTTCATTTCTTTCCTCTCTCGCAACTTTTGTTTTCGGTTTCGTATTTTTTGCATTCTTCTCACAGACTTTTATTTTCTTTACGGCGAAATATCGCATCGTTTTGCATGTTTTTGTTTTGTCTCGTGTCGTTTATAAAAAGGAAATAAAACATAACGCTAGATATACTCGTGCGCACTTCATGAATAAAATAAAATGTGCACTGAGTGTGCGATGCGCGCACCATCAAAGAGTCACAAAGGGCGCAAAAAATCTCCGGCGTCAATTCGATCCGGCTGCCGCTTCCTTGCTCGAAATTTAAATGTCGAGATGTTGCCTTTGAGGCGATGATTAACATCTGCTGCGTTATCGGGAGCTGTGCATCGTCAAAGCGAACGATGAATACAAACTGTGTTTAAAATACTAAAATACTGATTTTCAGCAACAACACAAAAACAACAACGGCGGAAAAATACATTTTCCAAGGGTGGAAATTTTAGAGGTAAATATATAAAGGTTTTATTTATCGTATACCAAAGTTTTAAAAAAAGTTTCAAAGGCAAACTTGAAAGAAACTTGATGTTGTTTAAGAGATAAATTAAAAATGTTTGCAACTAAATATATTTACAAAGCAACTAATGATCTTCTTTATTTTGTAGTTGACATAGTAATATTCAGTTGTTTACAACAACATAGATAATAACATAGTTTTCAATATTAAAAAATGAAATAAATTATTAATTGTTGATAACCTAAATATTTTTTGATTTTTAATGTTTGGAAGCACAATTTCAATAAAATAAACAGTAAAAAAATATTTTTACATGAATAAAAGTAAAATGAATAAAAATACCTACTTGTGCAAATATAATATTTGTGGGATTTAAATTTATTTATTTACGAGCTATTGCCATGTATTTTAATATAAAAAAACTAGTTTAACTGATTGCTTTCTTGTTTATCGGATTTTTATGAGCCAAATCAGTCAATAATATTCTCTAAAAATGAGTAAATCTTCATATAAACTTTCATCCCATATTTTACACCCTGCAAGTAAAATTTTTGCTGACAAAAGTAGACTATTTGTTTTTCTATATTCCAAAATATCTCCATACCAAAATTTATCAAAATTTGATTAGTGGTTCATACGTGAAAGCGTAACAAACAAACCGAAAACTCAAATTTGTCTTTTTAATAATAGTTTATATATTACAACAACTTAATTTCTTTTTATTGAACATAAACATTAAGTAATAATTTTTGTTTCAGCGGTTTTAAATATTCAATGATTTACTTGTTTATTATATAATATTATAAACATTAAAAACCTTTGAAAAATATATTAAAATGATATTAAAACTTTAAATAATAAAAACATGTTTTTGCACAAATAAAATCTCTGCATATATGTTCCAGTATGCGTGTTTACTCCAAACACGAATTTATTATGACCTTCCATTATACTTGCAACACAAATAAAAGAATAAATGAAACGAAATACGCAGTTCTCGCTGTCTATCCGCGGGCGAATAGCGTGCCACAACACAACGCATCTTCAATTCAATTCGCATTCTGCATTCCGAGCGAGTTTCGCTTTACGCATTTCACTGCATTGAAAGCACAACTTTGCGACTTGCTGGATAAGGACAACTGCGATAATTGCCTCCGGTTATTGCATCTATTGCATATATTGACGCTAACTGCAGCAACAACAACAACAACAATGAGAACAATCGACGACGAATTGTGCATATATTACTTTGAGTAAACAGTAAACATTTTCAAGTACAAGTGGAGTGGAGTGGAGAAAATGTAAATGTATTGAGGAATTAATGATAATGGGGATATTTGTTGACATTGTGCCAAGGATAATTGTCAAAATAAAAATGTTTTTAGATAAATTAAGTTATAATGGCACTTTTAGCAATATACTGCCATCTAGTAAAGATATGGATGTATTTGATGGAAGGTAAAGCTGTAAAGCTCTGTTATTTCTTGTTATAAAGCAACAGGTGGCGCTGCAATTCATAAAAATGGATTATTCACGATTACACAATACAATTTATCATATTTATTGTTAAACCCTTTAATTTAATAGTTAATAATTTGAGATAGATAATATGAAACAACTTATATAATGAATATTTTGTAAACAATTTCATATTAGTTATTATTTATATTTTTAAACGTTTTTCTGATTGTTTACTAATTTGAGGTTATGTCATGAGCACTTTTATATACAGGATCTTTTGTATCTTGAAAACCATCCACGTGTCTGGTATACTTGCTAATCACAAGATTAGAATCTGATGATGTATATCTTCTAGGTGCTTTTGAAGTCCCAGTTTGGTCCTTGCAGGTACCAAATGCTTGAACCACAATATCCTTCTGATATTTACAAGCTTTCTGCCTTAATTGACAAGCCGAAGGGTATGTTTGTCCATCACTCCCACAAACAATCTAAAAAATTCAAATTTATTTTTATTACATTTGAATAAAATATTAAAAGGGATTTACTTGTGGATTGGCTCCTTCTTCACATTCAGTGTTACATTCACAAGTAGCATATCTCCCACGTTCTAAACAAGCAGCCCCAAAATGACAGGTCAGGTCTTTACAACTTGATGGAGGTGGTGTGCTTAAATCAGCAGAAACACAACCATTGGGACTAAGGATTTTATCGTGACCTGTACAAACGGTACACTTTTGACCTTGGATACCAGGTTTACATACGCAACGGCCTGTCATTTGCTCACAGTCTTCACGGACTGATCCAAAAGTAGAACATCCACATGCTAAAATATTAAAAGTTAATAAATATTACTTAGGTTATTAAAACTATAACTTACGTATGCACCCATGATGTCCAGAAGATATTTTAGGTAAACCCCAGTATCCTGGTTCACAACGATCACACTTCTCCCCTCCAACTCCAGGTCGACACTTACAATCTTTAGTAATAGGGTCACATACCTCCGAATACGCCCCAAGTTTATTACATCCACAAATCGGAGGACAACCTAGTTGTTCAGGTCCAGATGCAGGTGTTTTACCATCTGGACAACACCCAAACCAACTGTCATCACAGGTCTTCTTCATCTGCACTTGTTCCTTCAAACAACACTTTGCAAACCTAGCAGTTTGATGACAATAACTCCCTGAAGGGCAATCCTGCCTCAATGGACCATTACCACAATCCAATTCTTTATTAGTCAAAGGATCCAGTAGTGGTTTATCTCCATTACATGGTTTTACCTCCATTCCCTGACATAGATCCAAAGGTCTTAGACGTAGTTCTTCCTGACGTTGACAAGCTTCCATTTTCATAGCGCATAAAGAAGGATAAATACGTAGATCAGAAGCACAGACTGGTTTAGCATTCAGAATCAACGCTGGGTTGGAACAGTCAAATTGACAAGTACAACGTGGGAAGTTATCAGGACCCAATTCACAGGTTGCTTCAAAATCACAATGGATATCTCTACATGCTTCACCTTCAACAGGAACAGCTGCATTTGGTATTCCGGGAGTACCAGGTTCCAAAATTTGGATTGAGTTGGTATGCACCATTGGATTAGACACCTCTGGATGTACCTGGTGGGTAATTGGAGAATGAGTGGTGTGACCAGGTGAACCTGGAAATCTTTCACTGCAATCTCCATAAAACACAACAGTTATAGGTTGATTGACGTTAAAACTCCTTTGTTGGCAAGAAGCTTTCTGAAGCTCACATTCATTAGGGTATGTTATTATGTTTGTGCCACAGACAGGTTCAACTCCAGAGGTTTCACAGTTTGTGGGACAGACACAGACTCCGGCTTCACACCGTGCGCCATATTTACATTCAACACCTAAGCAGAGATCTGTAATAAAAAAATGTTAGTATTTTTGATTGTTTTAAGGGTTTTAAAGTACCGCAGTCTCCTTTGTAGATAGGTTGGATGTCCTGTTTGGTTTGACAGGATATTACGCGGAGTTCACATTCATTAGGATAGGTTTTACCATCGGAACCACAGATGGTACCATTTTTATACTAAATTAAAATGATTTTAGGAAATATTAAGTTTGGTTAATGTACTTAAGTACCTTTTCATCTTTACATGATTGAGGACACACACATCTTCCTTCCGTTGAACCATCACTCTCACAGATGGCGTAATGATCACACTTTTTACTTTCACAACCATCTGAAACAAATAAACACCGTTAATTCTTCTTTCAATTATTTTTATTATTTTTACTTACTGCAGGAAGTATGATACAACACAGTGATTTCCCTCCGATGTACACATGCTTCCCTTCGTAGTTTACACTCATTCCCATAGGTTATACCATCACTACCACAAACAGGACGAAACTCAGCGGAACACAATGGCGGACACTCACAACTAGCCCTGTTATCTTTCTCAACACAAATCGCTCCAAGAGGACATTGATGATTACTGCAAGCTGTTGAACTGACACTTCCTTTGTTATTACCATGGCCACAAGCACCAATGTGAGATATATTCACGGGTACTCTTGAGAGACATCCGGATCTACGTAATTCACACTCTGAGGAATAAGTTCTGCCATCTGTTGCACATACTGGACGTACAATAGGTTCACAAGGTGGAGGGCATTCGCAACGAGCTATCCCAAATTTGTTGATTGCACATTGCTCACCAAGGGTGCAACGTACACTTGCACATGGGTTTATTCCTAGAATAATAAGAAGAAAAATTTAAAAAAATAAAGAAATGAATATTAAACATTGAATACCTGAGCTACATTTTCCTCTATAAATAATATTTAAACTTTTCCTAGTTCTGCAAGTTTCCTGCCTTAATGAACACTCATTAGAATATGTTTTCCCATCCGAACCACAAACAGGAATAAACTCCAGAGGACAAGTATCACCACATCGACAAACCGGAAGTCTTTGATCGTTTAGTTGACAAATTTCCGGCTCAGAGCATTCAACTCCTGAGCAAGGATCTAAAATTTTCAAATTTTTAAAGTTTTAAATAAATTAAAAATATTAATACCCACCGCATTTTCCAGGAAATGTCACAGTAATATTCAAATTTTTCACACATGCAGCCCTTCTAAGCTCACAATTATCTTTATAATCAACTCCATCCGATCCACAAACAGGACGTGAGCCGGCATGATCCCCATAGTTGGGACAGGATGTAGGACATCGACACGTTGCCGTGTGTCCATCCGGGGATGGCACACAGCTTGCTCCAAACCCACATTGCTTATCCTTGCAAGGATCCCGCTGCTCTGCAAGTCAACACCTGGTCGATACTGCTTAGTCCTAATATTTACGTGATTTTTCATAGTAATATTACGGAAACACTTAGTATGTTGGCACTAACCTGGTGGGAATACGTAGCAGGCTTTTGTTGAGTCTTTCCAGAGGATGTTCAGCGCTAGGAGTGAAATTATAAATGAAACACTCATTTTTATAGCGTATTTGTTTATTTTAATTATATAAATTATTGGAAAATCTTGTAGTTTGTTTAGAATACTACAGGTTGTTTAGGTTTGTGTTTGTTTACGAATGAGGGGAGACAACAACACACAACACGTGACGTGAGAGCTTAATGTAAAGTTGCGATTGCCGCCGACGAGCTGGGACTGCGTGGGCGGTGCTTGCCGCCGAGCGCTTTGCCCGGTGCGCAGTTATCGATTTTATTTTTGAGGGGTATAGACATAAGGTGAAAGCGGCGCTTAAAAGCAATTTGTATTATTTTTTTACAAAGTAAAATAAAGAAAACTAATGACTCTGTAAATCATTTATATTTTAATAAAATGCATACCAAAATACATTAATATACCTACAATATAAGTAATAAATACAGTAAGCTACATTTATATGACTTCTGAACACTTTAGCGGATTTATATTAAAAATATTTATTGTTAATATGGTAATAATTGTAAATAAAACAAAAAATATTAAATATGTGCAGACATAACCTAGTTCTTATGCTAATATATTTGTAGGTTAGTTTAATGACTTAATAGATTAAATTTCAATTGTTTATTATGACTTTAATTTTAGAAAATGTACGGCTTTCTCATAAATTTTTGTTTTCTGACCGTTTTTGCTCTTGCCACTCTTCTTAATGCCCAGATACCAGTCACACTCTGCAAAATGCAGCGATTTGTAATACAAATACGCACCGGCTATTCCTTCGATAAAAACAAACATCTCTGCATCGCGATTATCCTAATAAAACAAATTTAGTAATAGTTTAATAGTTAAAAACATGAATAATAGTCGCATGTCTAAATACCTGAGACCTTAATTTTCCTTTATTATTCATAGTCACATAGAGATTAGCCAAAATCCCTTTAATCACTACGTGTCCTGGATATCCTGTTGGTATCATCTCTAACTGTGCTAAAAAACATTATTATTTTACTTCAAAATTGAATTATGTAAGCAATTAAATAAATATTTAATATCCTTACTATGAGGATCACTTTTCTCGCTTGTCCCACGCACTTTTCCATCTGGATAAATCGCCAAAAATTGTTGTGATCGGCAAAACAATTGCATACGATCTCCTTTGACATATTCAGATAATGGTACTCCTTCATATGGACCCAAAGGTTTTGATCTTAATGAACGCTTGGAACGTGTTATTTCCATCTCTTCCACCTGTGACGATGATTGATGTGTGCTCTGATTATGTGTTGATTGAGATGATGATGCATGGTCAACAAAATCTTCATCAACGGACTCATCATTATCTGAACTTGATTCACTCGACACTTCGTTTAATGTATACATTTTTCGATAATAAATATTTAATTTTATACGCTTTTAATAATTTTATAACCGATAAATATTTCACTTGGATTTTCCGCTCTTTAACTTTAATACTTTGTGCTTAAATCAAATGTCTCATAAGTGAGGAAATGTAGTTTAAGTGGCGGAAGTTATGAAACTAAACGATTTGAGCAAACTAAAACCATAGATTTCATTCCACTCAATTCGATCAGAAACGTAAATATTGTGAGTTGTGACGTAAGGCAAGAGCTTAGGCTAGTGGCAGTTAAAAATAAACTTTAATAATACTGAATACATGAATATAAATATCCTAGTCTCAATTCTAATACATTTTCGATAATATTTTAATGAACATTTAGTTTGGCAGTTTAGTTTTGTGAGTTATAATAAATATGTGTCGCTTTTTATGATTATAGCTTGAGAAAATGCACGGCTTTCTGATTAAGTTTTGTTTTCTGGCCATTTTTGAACTTGCCACTCTTCTTAATACCAAGATACCAGCCACGGAAAGCAAAATGTCGCGACAGGTAGTAAAAATAAAAGCCGACTTTTCCTTCGATGAAGACTGACATCTCTGCGTCGCGATTGCCCTGCTAAACCAGAAAGAATTAACAAGATAATTAATAATATTAGTTACATTTAAAAAACAGCTTATAAGTTGCGCTTCAATAAATTTAAAAGCATTTAAGTAGTATAGTAACTTGAGACATAAACTAATACATTGATAAATATCATTATTAAATATTTGTAATATTAGTAATCCTAATTTTATTAATGTTTTATTATTATGAGTAAGTTTTAATACCTGAGATCTCAATCTTCCTTTGTTATTCATAGTGACATAGAGATTAGTCAACAATCCTCTTATCACCACATGTCCTGGAAATCCTGTCGGTATCATTTCTAACCGAGCTAAAAACACATCATTGTTTTATTGCCTTTTCAATTTATTAAACAAATATAATAAATAGATAATAAATGTTTATACTCACTATGAGGATCAGCTTTATCGCTTGTTCCACGCACTTTTCCATCTGGATAAACCCCTAGAAATTGCTTTGATCGGCAAAACAATTGCAATTGGTCCCCTTTGACATATACTGTTAGTGGTACTCCTTCATAAGGATCTAAAGAAGGTTTTCTTTGACGTTGTCCTTGTTGATCAGAACGCAAATTGCCTGATTGTGGAGGAGCTGATGTTGATGGACCATCATCTTCCACACCACACCTTTAATGATTAAAATTTTCAGTTATTTGTGCAAAAAAAACTTGAATTTGACGTTTTAAATCAAAAATAAGCGATAACTTATGTGTTTATATGAAATCTAATTTAGTTTCTATTTATAGAAGCAAAATTAATTTATTTCTATGCAAAATATGCACTTTATTCTCACTTGTTAATCATGGCAACTCAACGGTATACATTTCAAACAAAATAGTTTACTTTTCAATGAAATATGCATTTAAAATGTTTAGAATTCCATGTAACAATTTTATTTCAATAAATAAAACACCATTACCACATAATAGAACGTTTAGAACGCGTAGTTTCCATCATTTGCATCTGTGACGATGATTGATATGAGCTTTGACTCTGTGTTGATTGCAATGACGACGAATGGTCAACGTAATCGTCATCAATGGACTCATCACTATCCGCACTCGATTCACTCGACGCCACATCGTTTAATGTATACATTTCACGATAATAAATCTCAAGTTAAACGCACTGTTAAATTTAATAACCGATAAATATTTCACTCGAATTTTCCGCTTTTGTTTAATGCGTTGTGCTAGAATCACAAACTCCACAAGTCAGGCACAGCAAACCAAAACCCAAAGACTTTATTCCTTTCCGTTCAATCAGAACATCGTGCCCACCATCGCGTTCCACAAACGTAAATATTGTGAGTTGTGACGCAAGGCAAAAGCTTACGCTAGTCGGTCTTTAAAAATAAACTTCAAAATTTGATTTCTTGTTAGAGCGCAGCTCCGAGACGATGCATTCGGTCTGCACACAGGAATATACGCTCACAAGCCGCATTTATTTATAGTTTAATAGGTTTAACTGAATTTCAGCCTGAGAATTTTGTATACAACATATCTACTGATATCATATGGTGAGATTAAATATTTGTTAAATAAATATATCGATGAAATGAATCATCTGCCCTAGAATTGTATGCATATTGATTTATTTAATCATTTTTTCATTTCTTTAACATTTCATTGTATAAAACAATCAATAACATCATCATAAACATCACAAACAATCATATAGTACTTTTGTCTTCATTTACGATTTCAAATATTAAGTAATTGTGCAGGTTAAGGCATTTTAATCACTATCACTATCATCTAATTCAAAGTCTTCATCTTCATCGGTTGCAAACGCATCTTCTTCCTCATCATCAATAAAATCATCATCATAATCAGCCAAATCTTGTTCTGCTTTAGTTTTTCTTTTCCTTTTTGTTGGTAAAACATTATTTGGATCACCAGGTCCTAAACAAAACAGTTTTAAACATGTTTTATGTTCATTTGAGGTAAAACTCACTTTTATTTGGTGGTTTTACAGTTTGTTTTGAATGTTTATATTCTTTTCTGTGCTCCTTATTCTTTCGAAAGCATCCTCTGCCATAGGGACAAGCTGGGCGATCATCTTCAGGATCTGTATCATAATCAGCATCGCCAGGATGACTAAATGCATCTCTGTGACTTTGACTCTTTCTAAAATATAATTTTTTATTAAACTTGATTAATTAAGGAGATTAACATACCTGTAACAATTAGCTCCATACCAACATCTATCTTTAAACTCTTTCTTAGCTGTATTACTGCAAGATGGCTGATCTGCATCATCATTATCATTATTTGTATTGTTTGTGGTGTTTGTAGTTTGTGGTGTTGTAGAATCACAGTCAGATTTAATTGTAGTTTCTTCCTGAGCATTATTTTCAGATACATTTTCATCTGAGACTTGATTGGCGATGTTTACTTCTGGTGTGTCCTGTTGAACAGGTTGATCATGATTGATATTATCCTCAGGTTGAATTGGTACTGTGCTTGAAGAGGTAGGAACTGTATCAATGTTCTCATCAAGAGGTGCTGTGAAATATTTAATTTTGAACCAGAATATATCAGGAAAGAAACCAAATGTGTCGCCATCATTGATTTCCATTGGCATGCTGGGTTTTAAGAGAGACAGATGTGTGCTGTCTGCACATCTCCAGTAACAAGGGTTTGTGTGATGTACCTATCATCATGAATAATTTTAATTTAAATATTTTAGATATTTGAAGCTATATTTTTAATATTTACCAAAGAAAATGAGGCAGACAGTGCTTCTATTGAAATTGAGACATGATTTCTTGAAATTCTTTTGTCTGTACACTAGAAAATAGTTTAATAGTATATTACATTAATAATCAATTTGAAAAACAATAATTGAATGTATAGTAAAATACTTACACCAAGTTGCGAACCTCTTCCAAGAGAATGTGTACCCTCGGATAAGATACATAAAGGTTTAGATTCATCTTCAAGTTTATAGATCGCTAAACGCATTTTAAATAATGTAAAAATTTAAATTAATTTTTAAAAGCTTTTGAAACAGTTTGAAACTGTTCTAACGGCCACTAACATCAATAGTTTTGTTTCTTATGTTTTGCTTCTGGATTTAAAGGTTAGCGTTTTGTTTGGGTCGCAGTGGGGACTTGTCGTCTCGCCAACGTCTTTTCGAAAAGTCGGTGTGGATAACTATTTTGAACCTTTAAAGGGAAGCAAGGGTACAGAGATTCCTAGCTAGTATCTATATTATGTAATAATGGAGGTAAGCAAGCATAGAAACGCGGATATTTAGCGATATTGTTTTTATTCTGTAAAAATGAGTCAGTCTCAGTAATATGATCGTCCGCCAATGTTTGACAATCAGCTGATCAGCAATGTTACCCGCTTTATTTATGACTTAAGCTAGTTGGCCTTGTGCTCCTCCACATCCTGTGATCCTAATATTGTAAAGTATTTTGTTTATAAATTACATTGGATTTCGTGAACAATTTTGTCGAGAATCAGTGGGTGGCATTAAGAACGCAGAAACATCACACTGTAAAGACTGTAAAGTTCCCGCCAGATTTTTGATTCTTTTAGATCACTTTATTTCGGCTGCTTGAATGGTTGTTAGTAGTTTTTTTATATTTTTCAGATTATTTAAAAATGAGGCTTAAATGAGTGCTAGGACAAAATTAGAATATTTGAAATTAGAATATAGTGTGGAAAACACCCTGTATCTCCTGAACTAATATACTTTCTGTAAGTTTCTTGTCTAAGCGGCCCTTTTTACGATACATTCTATTCGAATCCCATAGACCCTTGAAAATGCCCTAAAATACTTTTCAAAAGTGGATAATTTTATGAAAATTTGAAAACATGATGAGAATAACCTCCGGTATTTAGTGAACTAATTGACTTTCTTAGTGTTTCTTTACGACTGAATGTAGTTAGAGAGCTCCCCTACAGGATGCTTACCTTTCTACCTCTCAGCCATTCCGTAAGTATCCTAAAATGCCCTTCAAAAATGAGCAATTTTAAGAAAATTTGAGAACATGGTGTTAAAACAGCCTGTATCTATTAAACAATTTGATTTTCTTAAAATTTCTCAGAGTTGGATTTTTTGGCGATTCCGTCAAAAACAAATCGAAATTAATAGTTCGATGCATAGTACGAGTACAATTCAATTCATGTTTTGCACTACCACACTGAAAGTGTCCGTGTTTACAAACAAACATGTTTTCTTATCTCGTGCAATTTTTGTGCGATCGCCACGCGGTTGGCTTATGTACCACGTTAGTCTCGTTTTTGTCGTCAGGTGATCTGCACGCACAGTTTCTTAATTATTCTTGTGTTGCTAAATGCTTCTTCGATTGAACGCGATTGATGTGCAGGGTTTGTACCACGCGGATTGTACATACTCAGCATGAGTGATGTGAGTGATCGGTGCTACAAAACTTCATTTTGCATCAAGGTAGGTTCTCGCATTTCTTCAGCCATTTGAAAATCAAATCCAAATCAAAATTCTCTATAAAATAAGCTACTTAAAGTGGAAATTTACGCGATGAAATTTTAATTCATAAAAAAAAATTGGCAAGGTTGGGGGCTTGATAATTTATTTCCACAATTTTCGACAGTGAATATCTTCTAAACTAAAAGATAGCAACCAGAAAATTATAGGTTATGGAAGATTGAAAAATTCTCAATCAGATGGATATTTAAAGAATTCTGAATGTAGATTAAAAAAATTGAATTTGCACCGAAACGAATTAATTTACAACTTAAGTTTTTTTTACAGTATTCGCCCTACCATGGAGTTCCGCATTAACATTAACATAAACGTTAACGCTACCCTCCTACGGTGCCCTGAATGGCAGTCACTTCTACCGCTACTCTTGTACGGTGCCCTGAATGGGAGTCATTTCTACCGCTACCCTTGTACGGTGCCCTGAATGGGAGTCACTTCTACCGCTACACTTATACGGTGCTCGGAATGGAAGTCACTTCTGCCGCTACCTTCGTACGGTGCCCCAACTTTTGTTATTATCTCACAAATTGACCTCCAAAATTGCATTTTTCTGTTCGAAAGACTAATTTTTCCTGGTTTTTCGGATTTTCAACCTGAGTTTGACATCGGAGAAGGACCATTCTCACATCAGATTGTAATTAATTCCTTTATCATTTTCCTAAATTACTTTTGTGATTATCTAACAAATTAACCCCCAAAAATGCATTTTTATATTTGAAGTACTCATTTTTGATGGTTTTAGGGATTTTGCAACTGAGTCTGACCTCGTAGAAGGACCATTTTTGCATCAGATTGTGAGTAATTAATTTCTTTATCATTTTTCTAAATAACTTTTGTGATTATCTCACAAATTGACCTCCAAAATTGCATGTTTCTGTTCAAAGTACCAATTTTTCCTGTTTTTTTGAATTTTGCACCTGAGTCTGACATCGTAGAAGGACCATTTTTGCATCAGATTGTGAGTAATTAATTTCTTTATCATTTTCCTAAACTTCTTTTTCGATTATCTCACAAATTGACCTCCAAAATTGCATTTTTCTGTTCGAAAGACTACTTTTTCCTGGTTTTTTGGATTTTGCACCTGAGTCTGATATCGTAGATGGACCATTTTTGCATCAGATTGTGAGTAATTAATTTCTTTATCATTTTCCTAACTGACTTTTGTGATTATCTCACAAATTGACCTCCAAAATTGCATTTTTCTGTTCGAAAGACTACTTTTTCCTGGTTTTTTGGATTTTGCACCTGAGTCTGATATCGTAGATGGACCATTTTTGCATCAGATTGTGAGTAATTAATTTCTTTATCATTTTCCTAAACAACTTTTTCGATTATCTCACAAATTGACCTCCAAAATTGCATTTTTCTGTTCGAAAGACTACTTTTTCCTGGTTTTTTGGATTTTGCACCTGAGTCTGACATCATAGGAGGACCATTTTTGCATCAGATTGTAAGTAATTAATTTTTTTATTATTTACCTAAATAACTTTTGCGATAATCTTACAAATAGGCCCCCAAAATTGCATTTTTTTGTTCAAAGTACCAATTTTTTCAGGTTTTTTGGATTTTGCACCTGAGCCTGACATCGTACATGGACCATTTTCGCATCAGATTGTGAGTAATTAATTTCTTTATCATTTTCCTAACTGACTTTTGTGATTATCTCACAAATTGACCTCCAAAATTGCATTTTTCTGTTCGAAAGACTACTTTTTCCTGGTTTTTTGGATTTTGCACCTGAGTCTGATATCGTAGATGGACCATTTTTGCATCAGATTGTGAGTAATTAATTTCTTTATCATTTTCTTAAATAACTTTTGTGATTATCTCACAAATTGACCTCCAAAATTGCATTTTTCTGTTCGAAAGACTACTTTTTCCTGGTTTTTTGGATTTTGCACCTGAGTCTGATATCGTAGATGGACCATTTTTGCATCAGATTGTGAGTAATTAATTTCTTTATCATTTTCTTAAATAACTTTTGTGATTATCTCACAAATTGACCTCCAAAATTGCATTTTTCTGTTCGAAAGACTACTTTTTCCTGGTTTTTTGAATTTTGCACCTGAGTCTGACATCGTAGATGGACCATTTTTGCATCAGATTGTGAATAATTAATTTCTTTATTATTTACCTAAATAACTTTTGCGATAATTTTACAAATATGCCCCCAAAATTGCATTTTTTTGTTTAAAGTACCAATTTTTTCAGGTTTTTTGGATTTTTCACCTGAGCCTGACATCTTAGATGGACCATTTTCGCATCAGATTGTGAGTAATTAATTTCTTTATCATTTTCTTAAATAACTTTTGTGATTATCTCACAAATTGACTTCCAAAATTGCATTTTTCTGTTCGAAAGACTACTTTTTCCTGTTTTTTTGGATTTTGCACCTGAGTCTGACATCGTACATGGACCATTTTCGCATCAGATTGTGAGTAATTAATTTCTTTATCATTTTCTTAAATAACTTTTGTGATTATCTCACAAATTGACCTCCAAAATTGCATTTTTCTGTTCGAAAGACTACTTTTTCCTGGTTTTTTGAATTTTGCACCTGAGTCTGACATCGTAGATGGACCATTTTTGCATCAGATTGTGAATAATTAATTTCTTTATTATTTACCTAAATAACTTTTGCGATAATTTTACAAATATGCCCCCAAAATTGCATTTTTTTGTTTAAAGTACCAATTTTTTCAGGTTTTTTGGATTTTTCACCTGAGCCTGACATCTTAGATGGACCATTTTCGCATCAGATTGTGAGTAATTAATTTCTTTATCATTTCCTTAAATAACTTTTGTGATTATCTCACAAATTGACTTCCAAAATTGCATTTTTCTGTTCGAAAGACTACTTTTTCCTGGTTTTTTGGATTTTGCACCTGAGTCTGACATCGTGGATGGACCATTTTTGCATCAGATTGTGAGTAATTAATTTCTTTATCATTTTCTTAAATAACTTTTGTGATTATCTCACAAATTGACCTCCAAAATTGCATTTTTCTGTTCGAAAGACTACTTTTTCCTGGTTTTTTGGATTTTGCACCTGAGCCTGACATCGTAGATGGACAATTTTTGCATCAGATTGTGAGTAATTAATTTCTTTATCATTTTCCTAACTGACTTTCGTGATTATCTGACAAATAGGCCCCCAAAACTGCAATTTTTTGTTCAAAGTACCAATTTTTTCTGGTTTTCTGGATTTTCCACCTGAGCCTGACATCGTAGAAGGACCATTTTTGCATCAGATTGTGAGTAATTAATTTCTTTATCATTTTCTTATATAACTTTTGTGATAATCTCACAAATTGACCCTTATAATTGCATTTTTATGTTTAAAAGACTAATTTTTTAGGGTTTTAGGGATTTTGCACCTGAGTCTGACCTCGTAGATGGACCATTCTTGCATCAGATTGTAGGTATTTAATTTCTTTATCATTTTCGTAAATAACTTTTGTGATTATCTCACAAATTGACCGCCAAATTTGCATTTTTATGTTAGAATTACTAATTTTTGCTTGTTTTAGGGATTTTGCACCTGAATCCGACATCGTAGAAGGACCATTGTTTATGCTTGTGAGTTTTCTTTAATAAAGAATATTTTTTAAGTATTTCTAATTATAATTATTTCTGTTATTTCTACCTGATCACGTATTTAACGATCCCTTAAACCATTTATTTTGAAAAGTGCATGCTAGTGCCATCTATCAATTAAAAACTACAACAACCGAAAGTTTTGAGCTTCGGTCCGTCGCCACAAGAGGCTGCACCTTACTAGTTGCCGCGAAAACTTTATCAGCCTTCTCAACTTTCTGCGATCCTAATATTCAATCTTTATTTTGTCGACTCTGGGAGGCGAAATGACACAAAATTTGGACTCGAAACAGTCGAAACTCGAAATTTGAACTCGAAACTCAGGTTTTGATATTCGGATCGCAGAAAGGGTGAGGAGGTAATAAATGAAAGAGGCGGTAACGTAATTGCGGGTTAAATGAATGTTTAAAAATCTTTATTCAGCAAATTCGGTTTACGAATTCTGAAGAATCTCGACAACTAAGAAGGCTAGAAAATCAAGAACTACATAATCTTGATCCTTAAAAAAATCTCAACAAGGTGGCATCATTATTGAAAAATCATCAAAATGGCACAAAAAATTTTTAAAGAAAAGATTTTATTAAAAAAATGGCAAAAGATTTCTCTTTTTTATGATGAAAATTAAAAGTGAATTTTGAAACAAATTGAAATAATATATATAATAATTTGGCGGGAAGTGTCTATGTCCACTTTCTGCGTTCCTAATGCTACAGACTGATGAGCAGCAACATTTCAGCAAATTTCTCGACAAATTTTGTCGAGAAATCCATTGAAATTGGTAACAAAATTCTTTTGAATATTAGGATCGCAGAAAGTGCAGTAGGCTAAATCTATTGAATAGCGGCGTAGTTTAGTTACTCGTGGATAGATGACACTAGTGATACCGTTTTTAAATTAATATTGATACAATATTAGAGATTTTGAACTATTTCCAATATCTAGCAGTGGCATTTCCATTAAAGTTTCAGGGATTTATGGATTAATTAAAGGAGTAACGATGTATGTTGTGAGCTATGTTCTCCGTTTAGAACAAATAAAACAATAAACATTTATAAAACTACATTTTTATTCAAACATGTAGAATCCGAAACGAAATTTCTTAATATATACAACATTTTTAACAATACAAGCGAAAAAACAGGATAATAATAAGCAATTATAATACTCTGTTTATAACTTTTAACAAAATAAACAAAAATGATATCAATATCAGCTTCAAAATGTTGTAAATTCATTCAATCGTATTTGGAATCATCATCATCACCGGCAATCCAATCTTCAATTTCTTGGACACTATAAACCAGAATGAATAACAGAATAGTAAAACATAAAATATTATAAATTGCCAAAATATAACATACGTTCTTCGTATTTAGTCCAGTTGACACATTCATCTTCCTGAATACGCAGACAACCAGTACGACGGAACCTCTCCACTTGGTCCTTATTGATAAAGTTGGCCATCTCAGATTAGCCAATTCTTCATCCAACAACTGGAAAATATTTATGTAAATGAAATATACATATACATAAATTAAATGAATTATTCTTACAGGATCCATAAAGACTCCCATTTAGGGCACCGTGCGAAGGTAGCGGTAGGAGTGACTCTCATTCAAGGCACCGTACAATTTACTGCAAGAACGCCGGCCCCACGACATTGCGTTCGCCGGCTAGAACAAAAAAAAACACAAAATTAGCCAACCAAAAAACACAAAAAGGGCATTTTTTGTTGGTTTCCCGAGGGTCAAACCCACAAGTTATTAATGAAAATTATAAAGAATTTTAATACTTACAATTTGGTGAAAAAACTATTGTCTTACGACATTGCGTTCGCCTGCTAAATACTAAAAACAACAAAATTAGCCGACCAAAAAACACAAAAAGGGCCTTTTTGTAGGTTTCCCTAGGGTCAAACCCAGAAGTTATAAATGAAAATTATAAAGAATTTTAATACCGACAATTTGGTGGAAAAACTGTTGTCTTACGACATTGCGTTCGCCTGCTAAACATTAAAAACGACAAAATTTGCCGACCAAAAAATACAAAAAGGGCATTTTTGTAGGTTTCCCGGGGGTCGAACTCACAAATTATATATGAAAATTATAAAGAATTTTAATACCTACAATTTGGTGAAAAAACTGTTGTCTTTCGTCATTACGTTCGCCCGCTAAACACTAAAAACCACAAAATTAGCCTACTAAAAAACACAAAAAGGGCAATTTTGTAGGTTTCCCGAGGGCCAAACCCACAAATTATATATGAAAATTATAAAGAATTTTAATACCTATAATTTGGTGAATAAACTGTTGTCTTACGACACTGCGTTCGCCCGCTAAACACTAAAAACCAAAAAATTCGACGAGCAAAAAACACAAAAAGGGCATTTTTGTAGGTTTCCCGAGGGATAAACCCACAAATTATACATCAAAATTAAAAGGAATTTAAATATCTATAATTTGGTGAAAGAACGGTTGTCCTACGACAAGGCGTTCGCCCGCTAAACACTAAAAACCAAAAATTCGACGACCAAAAAACAGAAAAAATGCATTTTTTGTAGGTTTCCCGAGGGATAAACCCACAAATTATACATTAAAATTAAAAGGAATTTAAATATCTATAATTTGGTGAAAGAACGGTTCTTCTACAACGTGGCGTTCGCCCGCAAAACACTAAAAACCAAAAATTCGACGACCAAAAAACACAAAAAATGCATTTTTGTAGGTTTCCCTAGGAATAAACCCACAAATTAATAATGGGAATTATAAATAATTTAAATATCTATAATTTGGTGAAAGAACGGTTGTCCTATGACAAGGCGTTAGCCCGCTAAACACTAAAAAACACAAAATTAGCCGACCGACAAACACAAAAAGGGCATTTTTTGTAGGTTTTCCTAGGGATATACCCACTAATTATACATGAAAATTATAAAGAATTTAAATATCTATAATTTGGTGAAAGAACGGTTCTTCTACAACGTGGCGTTCGCCCGCTAAATACTAAAAACCAAAAAATTCGACGAGCAAAAAACACAAAAAGGGTATTTTTGTAGGTTTCCCGAGGGATAAACCAACTAATTATATATGAAAATCATAAAAAATTTAAAAATCTATAATTTGGTGGAAGAACGGTTCTTCTACAACGTGGCGTTCGCCCGCTAAATACTAAAAACCAAAAAATTCGACGAGCAAAAAACACAAAAAATGCATTTTTTTAGGTTTCCCGAAGGATAAACCCACAAATTATGTATGGGAATTATAAACAATTTAAATATCTATAATTTGGTGAAAGAACGGTTTTCCTACGACATGGCGTTCGGCTGCTAAAGAAAAAGCGGACGAATGAGTCAGCTATAGATGCATCCACGTAAGGTGCCCGAACACGAGTCACTTCTACCACTGACCTCGTACGGTGCCCTGAATGTTAGTCACTTTTACCGGCACCCTTATACTGTGCCCTAAACACGAGTCACATTTATCGCCACCCTTCTACGGAACACCGAATGTAACTCAACTAAATCAACAAAAAAAAGTTTAAAAAATACCTTTAGTGTTATCCTATGAAAAATTTGAACATTTCACAAAGGTTTCCCGCAATATGATCAGTGTTCCATATTACCATTAAGTTAAATAAATACGCCCCCCGCGGGCTATTGCAACACGCAGGTGAAATGTAATAAAAATTAAACCGAATAATATAACTTAATTATAAACTTACCAATGCAGCGCTCATCGGATTGCAAGGGTACGGCAAGTACTGCAATGAAAAGAAAACATAAACGTTAAATTCTTTTATTTTACAATAATTATAGAGTTTCATCCGGTAAGTGCCTCAACAATGCCACACATAATTTAAAACAAAACCATTTTATACTACGGAAAACAAATGCTGAGTATCGCAATGGTCAGATAAAAGTTACTTACTCAAGCACGAATATGTTTCCGGTTGATCTAGCGATCGACCACGTCACACAATTACCGACAATAAAACCGTAGCGTTGTAATTTAAAATATGAACACCAAACGCACAATTAATCAAAATACAATACCCTGCAGAAGCATATTACAACTAAGTCCATTGACGACCGAATATAATGCAAACTTATAAAATAGAAATTCGATAAAACGACACGCGTTGCACGGAATACGTCTGGACACGCCAGAGACCGGCACGAAACTGGCTGCAATCTATCGATAGCGCTAACCGAAACTGCACAAGCAGCTATGCGACAGTTCACAGTAAGAATCTGTACATGCTGCGCGAACACCGCAGGTAAAAGCAATAGATGCGCAAAGCCGGCGCCTCAATACCACGCGATCTTCTGCACGAATTGCAATTGGCACGATACTTGCGGTCTAAACTAAACAAGAATATGCTGCATGCGGTGTGCAAAGATTGCAACAACGACACTCGGAAATTGTAAGTTGTGTTCAAAACAAACACAATTCTAGTGCCGAATTCACACGTTTGTTGATAAATATAGAAATATCTCTAAATGAAACAGATAGCACTCCTGGAATTTATATTACTAAAAGTAATAAAACAATAAAATTACGAAATTATGATTTCTTATGCAAAAGATTGACCGATTTTACATCAAACAATATTATTATTTGAATTTCCTTCAATCGCGAATATCTTGTAAACTAAAAGAGATAAATAAGATCTGATCGCAGCGTGTTAATCTACTGACCAATCTCTATCAGATAGGATAGTTAAAAGGGAAATCTGAGAGATAAAATTTTAAGTCTTTAGAAAAAAATCGCCAAGGGGGGGTGCTTGATACTTTATTTCGACGATTTTCAAAAATTCATAGCTCTTAAACTAAAAGAGATAGCTACCAACGAATTGTTGATTATGAAAGATTGGAAAATTCTCTATCAGATAAAAATATAAAATAATTATATTTCCTACAGTAAAAGGTCGAAAAACGCGACTAAAAGTGCTAAAAAGTGACATTTTGCAATTTTTGCCCATTTTATTCAATCGCGAATATCTCGTAAACTAAAAGAGATAAATTAGATCTGATCGCAGCGTCTTAATCTACGGACCAATCTCTATCAGATAGGATAGTTAAAAGGGAAATCTGAGAGATAAAATTTTAAGTCTTAAGAAAAAAATCGCCAAGGGGGGGTGCTTGATACTTTATTTCGACGATTTTCAAAAATTCATAGCTCTTAAACTAAAAGAGATAGCTACCAACGAATTGTTGATTATGAAAGATTGGAAAATTCTCTATCAGATAAAAATATAAAATAATTATATTTCCTACAGTAAAAGATCGAAAAACGCGACTAAAAGTGCTAAAAAGTGACATTTTGCAATTTTTACCCATTTTATTCAATCGCGAATATCTCGTAAACTAAAAGAGATAAATAAGATCTGATCGCAGCGTCTTAATCTACGGACCAATCTCTATCAGATAGGATAGTTAAAAGGGAAATCTGAGAGATAAAATTTTAAGTCTTAAGAAAAAATCGCCAAGGGGGGGTGCTTGATACTTTTTTTCGACGATTTTCAAAAATTCATATCTCTTAAACTAAAAGAGATAGCTACCAACGAATTGTTGATTATGAAAGATTGGAAAATTCTCTATCAGATAAAAATATAAAATAATTATATTTCCTACAGTAAAAGGTCGAAAAACGCGACTAAAAGTGCTAAAAAGTGACATTTTGCAATTTTTGCCCATTTTATTCAATCGCGAATATCTCGTAAACTAAAAGAGATAAATAAGATCTGATCGCAGCGTCTTAATCTACGGACCAATCTCTATCAGATAGGATAGTTAAAAGGGAAATCTGAGAGATAAAATTTTAAGTCTTAAGAAAAAAATCGCCAAGGGGGGGTGCTTGATACTTTATTTCGACGATTTTCAAAAATTCATAGCTCTTAAACTAAAAGAGATAGCTACCAACGAATTGTTGATTATGAAAGATTGGAAAATTCTCTATCAGATAAAAATATAAAATAATTATATTTCCTACAGTAAAAGGTCGAAAAACGCGACTAAAAGTGCTAAAAAGTGACATTTTGCAATTTTTGCCCATTTTATTCAATCGCGAATATCTCGTAAACTAAAAGAGATAAATTAGATCTGATCGCAGCGTCTTAATCTACGGACCAATCTCTATCAGATAGGATAGTTAAAAGGGAAATCTGAGAGATAAAATTTTAAGTCTTAAGAAAAAATCGCCAAGGGGGGGTGCTTGATACTTTATTTCGACGATTTTCAAAAATTCATAGCTCTTAAACTAAAAGAGATAGCTACCAACGAATTGTTGATTATGAAAGATCGGAAAATTCTCTATCAGATAAAAATATAAAATAATTATATTTCCTACAGTAAAAGTTCGAAAAACGCGCCTAAAAGTGCTAAAAAGTGACATTTTGCAATTTTTGCCCATTTTATTCAATCGCGAATATCTCGTAAACTAAAAGAGATAAATAAGATCTGATCGCAGCGTCTTAATCTACGGACCAATCTCTATCAGATAGGATAGTTAAAAGGGAAATCTGAGAGATAAAATGTTAAGTCTTAAGAAAAAAATCGCCAAGGGGGGGTGCTTGATACTTTATTTCGACGATTTTCAAAAATTCATAACTCTTAAACTAAAAGAGATAGCTACCAACGAATTGTTGATTATGAAAGATTGGAAAATTCTCTATCAGATAAAAATATAAAATAATTATATTTCCTACAGTAAAAGATCGAAAAACGCGACTAAAAGTGCTAAAAAATGACATTTTGCAATTTTTGCCCATTTTATTCAATCGCGAATATCTCGTAAACTAAAAGAGATAAATAAGATCTGATCGCAGCGTCTTAATCTACGGACCAATCTCTATCAGATAGGATATTTAAAAGGGAAATCTGAGAGATAAAATGTTAAGTCTTAAGGAAAAAATCGCCAAGGGGGGTGCTTGATACTTTATTTCGACGATTTTCAAAAATTCATAGCTCTTAAACTAAAAGAGATAGCTACCAACGAATTGTTGATTATGAAAGATTGGAAAATTCTCTATCAGATAAAAATATAAAATAATTATATTTCCTACAGTAAAAGTTCGAAAAACGCGACTAAAAGTGCTAAAAAGTGACATTTTGCAATTTTTGCCCATTTTATTCAATCGCGAATATCTCGTAAACTAAAGGAGATAAATAAGATCTGATCGCAGCGTCTTAATCTACGGACTATTCTCTATAGGATAGGCTAGTTAAATCGGAAATCGGAGAGATGAAATTTTCATTCTTAAGAAAAAATTGCCAAGGGGGGGTGCTTGATAATTTTTATCGACGATTTTCGATAATTAATATCTCTTAAAATGAAAGCGATTGCAACCAACGAATTGCGGATTATGAAAGAATGGAAAATTCTCTATCAGATAAAAACATAAAATAATATTTCCAATAGTAAAAGGTCAAAAACCGTGACTATATGTGCTAAAAGTGATATTAAATGTAACAAGGAAAGATCGACGTTCTTGACATATTCGAGTCGATAAAAGACAATAGTGTATAACTTTTAAACTAAATGCGATAGCGACCAACGAATTGAAATTTATGAAAGGTTTGAAAATTCTGCATTAGATAAGAATTTAATACAATTTAATCTCGTGAGAGAAAAGGACCAGAAACGTCACGAAAAGAGCAATCTTTCTTTTTTTTGCCCTTTTTTGAATTGCGAATGTCTCTTAATTGTGTCTCATCCTGCCAGTCGTCTAAATTGTGTCACAGGTAGGTAGTACGTTATAAATAGAAAACTTGTTTATAAAAAACAAACGTAAATTTGATTGAAAAATATAATTGAATTATAAACTTACCAGTGAACAGCTTATCGGACTGCCAGGCACAACGAGTGCTATAACTAAACGAAAACATAAATTAAAACAAAAATATTTCATACAATTGAATTATGTTATAATTAACAATCAACACAAAAGAAACAATCTGTGCTGTTTAGTTAAAAAATACTTACACGAGCCTGATGGATCTTTGTTAAGATGAGAATCGACATGGCGGCGATATATATCTGATTAATTTAGTAACCGACACCGAACACAACGCCGAGTGAAGAATGTTATCAAATCCACTATCACGTGACTTGTAATATACATAACAAACGCGATCAAAAACCGGCATTTCCGAACATTAAAGAAATTACTATAGTCGCAAAGTACAAATAAATAGTCGATTGATCTTCGAGTATAACACAAATTTAGAATATTAAAGTCCGAATAAACGATATAAGTCTCTCAAAACATAACTGGATTAATCAGCGAGCGGCACGAAACTGGCTGCAATCCACCGATAGTGCATGCCGAAACTGCGTAAACAACGACGGGACAGTATATGATAAGAAAGCAAGAGGTGCGCAAAGCCGACGCGTCGATGGCACGCGACATTGTGCGCGACTTTGCACATTACCTGTGATCTAAACTAAACTAGACTTCGCTGCATGCAGCAAGTTGAAGCAGCGCTAGGAGACAGCGCGCGGAACATATGCGATAAAAAAAAAGTTGTTTATACCGAATCGCAGGTAACAGCATTGTATACAAAACAATTCTCGTACCCACGTTCAATTTTACGATTTTTAGTGCATCCTAGTGCCATCTATGAATGCGACAGATACTAGTCCCACAATTTAGACTATTATAATCAATAATTAATACTCTCACGTGTTTTCACTTTTGTATGCAGTACACATTGTCAATTAACATGTAGAGCGAGAAAAACCACAAAAAATTAGCCGACCAAGATACACAAAAAGAGCATTTTTGTATGTTTTTTGAAGGTTAAACCAACAAATTATATATGAAAACTATATTTTGTTTTTGCGTACCTTCTTGGCCCTTTAAACTTTCAGAAAATATCCTAAAATATCATTTCAATGTCATTATTGTTTTGTTGATAGAAGTAATGAAGGAACAGGAAATTAAAATCAGATTCAATCTAAGCAATTATTAAAATTGTATTCTTATCAACAACTAAACCAATTACATCAGTTAATTTAATTTTTGGTATAAATATGACACAAAATTACTCAACCGTTTTAGAAAGCAGTAAAAATGCTGAATAAACTTCTAAAGTACATTTTGGTGTTTATTAGTTTTGTATTCGTAATTCAGGGAAGTCCACTCGATGAAGAACATATCAGAGTGAGTATTTTCAATAGTAGAATAATAATAATATAATAAAAAATCCTTACATGTTATTATTAAGTAGCCTAAACGGGGAGAACTGCCAGGATTTGAAGATGTTCTAGGAAACTTCTTAGACGTCGCCATGCAAGTAATGGAATCTGTTCAGGGTTTTGGTGATATGATTGGAATAGGCGGCGGAGGGGATTCCGACAAAACAAACCTATCAAAGAAAAGACAAAGAAATTAAGAATAATGCTTGTAAATTTATAAAAATCTGTTTATTTAGTTTGTTGTTTGAAGCATTTGTAGTTAAATAAATATTGTTTATGTTTAACGCTTTCGTCCACCAGATTTTTTCCATTGTGCAATTTTCGCTCTACGCAAATATTTGCGCATAAACTTGTACTTTTTTGATCGACGGGTGCCATGCCAAGGATCACACTTGTCAAAGTTTGTTCGGAGTTTGGGACATCTTCGCTTCCTTCTACAGGGAGGTTTAGTCCCACGGTTGGAATCCGGACACATTTCATCATTGTTCCAAATTCTACATTTTCCACAAGAAATTGCATTTGTTGAAAATGGTCTTGGAGGTGGTATTAGGAATGAAGGCGGGGTTTGCACATGAAGACGGAGTTTCAGCAAATTATTCAACACTAATCTTCGTGTAGGTTGAACTCTTGCCAAAACAAGCAATGATCTTAAAAGTTTCATTTTTAAACAGATTTTTATAAAATTTTAAGAAATGAATGGAAATGTTCCTGCCAAAGATGAATTTTGATATGAAATAGTAATGATTAATGTCAAAAATAATAAATAAAGCATAATTTATTTTAGTTTTTACCAGATAACTTTGATTTTATTTACTTTTAAAGTTTTTAATTTAAAGTTGAAAAATTCGTCAATAGAGGTCGCTCCATGTACTAAAATAAGGATATTAATGCTGGCAGGGTTGAAGGAACGCGCAGGATCAGTCGATAACGGGGTGCCACCCTCGCACCTTCGAACAAAACACCCCGCGCCGCGTACAATGACCCAAAACGTGTTTTCCGCACAAATTCATCAAAAACCACATAAATATTTCCTGAAATAACAAACATGTAACATATTTACCTTCAAAAATAACGAAATAGAAAGCAATATGTAGTAAATAGTCTTTTAAAGTGTTAAATTAATACCGTCACAATGAAACAACGTGCGTTTACGTTGGGGGTGACAACCGGAGTGACCAAAATAGAAACTAAACATAGTTTAAAATATCCTTCGTCCTGGCCGCAGTATATTCTAGTAGGAAGCTTCGCTGCTGCTTGTTACATGAATGGTCTTGGTGGAGAATTTGTTCATGATGATGTGCCCGCTGTTGTCCTTAATAAGGACGTGGTTGCTTCGTCCAGGAGAATGCTGGCTGCGTTTGGGGATGATTTTTGGGGTACGCCGATGATGGATTCGAGGAGTCATAAATCATATCGTCCTTTGACAACGTTAACATTTAGGTAATAAATAATTTAAAATAATTACAAAATTATTGTGAATTAAAAGTGAAAATGTTTATTTTAGAGCTAATTATTTAATGGTTGGATTAGAACCATTTTGGTTTCATGGTACAAATGTATTCCTACATGTCCTGGCTACAATTATGTTTACAAAAGTATGTGTCAAAGTTGCAAGGATGACGAGTCCATTTGCTACATTAGCTGGGTTAATGTTTGCTGTTCATCCGATACATACTGAAGCTGTAAATTTGGTTGCTGTGTTTTCTTCCTAATATAATATATTAAATTATTATCCTTTTTAGGTTACTGGTATTGTAGGACGTGCTGATGTTCTAGCTTGTGTGTTTTTTCTGGCTTCGCTGCTTACGTATCACGAGTAAGTTAAAATATTTTTAAATAAATTTGAAAAAATTGTTTTAAACATAACCAAACTTTTCAGCTCAACAAAAAAGTGTCGACTTTGGACAAGTATTATTTTCGGAGGATTGAGTATCCTTGCGAAGGAAACAGGCTTAACAATATTTTTAGTAAATTTAATATTTGACATCTATCAAAGATGGCATCTTAAAAAGTGCGTTAAAATGCTTAATTTTAAAACTCAAGTTTAATGACTATTGTTTTAAGGACCTCGGTCGTACGATGGACCAAAGAAAAAAGCACGTACATAAAGAAAACATTCATCGTATTCCTCACAGTAAGTTTTGTAACAATTTTATGTTTGCTAAAGATAAATTAATTCTGTTTTAGTTTTCTGTGCTAATTATCTTGAGGCTAGTCCTTTTGCGTGGCTCATTGCCAAAATTTACCCGTGGAGACAATCCTGCCGCGTTTCATCCTTCAATTCAAGTCAGGTTAGTAATTATAATTAAAATAATTAACAATATTTATTATAATAACAACATTATAACTGTTTTAGATTCTTAACTTTCTCCTACATTGCATCCTTTAATTTTTGGTTATTGTTATGCCCCGCCCACTTATCTCACGACTGGCAAATGGGATCCATACCCTTAATAACCTCACTTTTAGATTTTCGCAATCTATTAACAGTTTTAATTTTTGTTTTAATCTCAACTTTATTATTAAGAACAACATCAGGACCAAAAACTAAATCTTTGAACCAGGACCCTGAAGCAAAACATTCAGAAAATACCACATTAGTGTTAGGTCTTTTAATCCTAGTAATTCCTTTCCTGCCTGGGAGTAACCTAGTAACAACCGCAGGATTTGTCCTTGCAGAACGTGTACTTTATATTCCCTCCATGGGTTTCATTCTGTTAGTGGTCCAAGGACTCAGAAATATTTGGTGTATTTCCGGGCGCCATCGTCAGACATTATTATCCTTAATATTATTTCTCCTAATTGTCCATGGTTTGCAATGCGTTGCAAGAAACAAAGACTGGAAATCAAGAGAATCCTTACTAAGAGCAGGCGTAAGGACATTGCCACATAACGCTAAAATGCACTACAACTTTGCAAACTTTCTAAGAGATTCAGGAAGAGTGGATCTTGCCAAAGCGCATTATCATACAGCTATCAGGTTAATAACAATAGAAAAACATTATTAAAACATGAATTAATAAATTAATTAATTTTAGGTTATGGCCTACATATGCTTCAGCTCATAATAATCTGGGCACACTGATTAAAAATGGCGATGAAGCTAAGAAACATTTTTTGTTAGCCATAAAGTACAATCAAGGACATTTGAATGCACATTATAACCTAGGACAATTGTATAGGTAACAAAACTCCACTTAACCTCAATTATCAGCTAATTTTTATGTTTGCTTATATAGAAAACAAAATCGAACGTACGAAGCAGAACAAATGCTTCAGAAGTGTATAGTCATATCACCCAACTTTACACTAGGTTATGTAGAGCTTGTGAAGTTAAAACTAATGAACGAATCTAATATTAGTGATTTATTAAAAATAATTGTCCGGCAGTCGACTGAAGCAGAGTATGCAATAATGTATGCTGATTATCTCAACCAAAAAGGTTCGTAAACAATTTTTTGTAAACTAATCTCATTTAACCTTAAAAAATACATTTTATTATTACAGGAAACTACATGTTGGCTTTAAAGTACTACAACAGCGCCCTCTCTGTGTGCAACTGTAAACTTGAAGCTTTCACTGGCGCTGCGACCATTTTGAGACGTCTAGGAATGCAATCACGTTTATTTCAATTAATTACAAGGTAATAATCTATAAAACGTGTATTTCAGTTCGTATTAATTACTTTTTCTCTAGATATCATGCAATGCAACGCTTAAAACGTGGCGACAGCGCAATCCAACCGAATATTTATCTTCAACGTTGGTTTCTCAGCTTTGAGCTAGAAAAAAACGCTTTGGACTATAATTCTGGTTACTGGGGAGCAGATGGCGCTAGTGCTAATGGTAACATAATAGACGCTACTAAAATGTCGCATGATTTGCTTTTGTTTCGATATCAACGCACCTCACATAATTTCGAAAACGCTACAATCGCGACGAATAATTGCCAGGAATGATAAAAATAAAAATGTTAAAATATATAATTATCAAATGAAATATTTAAGCAATTATTATGTTGTACAATGTATGATATATATTATTATGTAAATAAATATAAACATTGTTTTGTTATTACTTTTTTCTTTTAACATTATGAGGTCATCTTGGGTGTGAGAGGTTGCATAAGCAGCTTGTCGTAATGCTGATGGAATAGAGTCGATGAAATGTAATCAAAACGAAGTCAAGCGTTCGTATTTAGCATAAACTCTTAGAAAAACTCCTAGTTTCTTTTTTAGGTTAGGTGCATTCAATTTCACTTGCAAGGCGAGAGCATCAAGGACACTTTAAACGGATGGACTTGATTACACTTCTTTTCAGGTCACGCTAGGACTGAGAGGACTGAAGAGGAGATCTGAATATTTGATCCTTAAAAAAATCAAATGTCTGCTGAAGTGATTGATTGGTTTTTAAGCACAACTTTCAAGAATTTCGTATATTTAATGTTATAAATCAATTTTATTTCATAATTTTCGTGTAATTACTTTTAAATTATTAATAAGTCAACCTTAAACTCAAAATTAAACAACTTCCACTTTATCAATTCCTTTTAAACATATGTCATTCGAAGGATAATTTAATTGACAACCTAATCCCATAGTTTAGTTTTATTATGTTTATTTTATCTCGAGTTAAACCGGTTTAAGTAAAAAAAATCATAATTCCATTCAGATTACCTTAAATTTCCCTCGTAAGATGGCGTCATACAAAATTATTCACTTTATACCTGCCTTGACCGCAAACACGGTTCAAACCAACTGGAACCGACTAGAATCGAATGCATTCAAATGGAATATCCATAATGGGACGCACTGTTGCAGACTGAACAGCTAAGCAAACATGACTTAAGTCCCCAGCTGAGTCTCGCCTGCCCGCTCCGCCCAACCCATACGAGTAGCATATACTATAGTCCCTCGCTCGTCGTGGGACACCTCGTCGGCGGAATGTACAGCCTTGTTAAGAACGTGAAGAATTGAAGAATCGAAGCGTTTAAGCAGGTAAAAAACGAGCGTGTGCGTGTGTCTCCTCCATCTCCTCACCACCACACCACACCGAATGGCCGCCGTGTACGTATGGTAAATGATCGAAAACGAAAAAAATTGAGTATGCGCAGCTTCCAAACGAGTTTGCTGGCGTCTCTTCGGCCGTCCCTCGAGAGCGTGTTGAGAACGCGTCGAAAGTGTTAAACGCGCGTTGTTTACACATTGTTAGCATACATTACGATGCGTTTTATACAAACACCGGCGCGAACACGGGAAGCCCTAGCGTAATCATCGGCCAGAACATGGGAGAAATAAATAAACATTCGGGGCTAAAATTAACATTCACATTATACATTATGCACACATCGCGCAAGAGTTGGAGAGTTGAAATTTTAATTTTGTGATTAATCAAAAAATTGAGCGAAAAATCAATTTACTTAAGTTTGATAATCAAATTAACATTGCTACAATCATAATTGTTTAATTAATCAAGAGATCAATTTAAAATCATTCATATTTTGATTGATTTGTAAATTATTTGAGCTTTTTTCGGTCAAAATTAAGCAAAAACTAAAAAAACTTGTTTTTAGGTTAAATTTTGATTTAAAAACTATATAATTTGAGAATTAGGTTAAGTAAAGCAATAATATTTATAATAATTGTTGGATAATTCAATTATCTGCAAAATTATATAAAATTGTGTCTATAAAAACTAAAAATTTCCCCAAAATTAAAAAAAACTGAAAATTAATAAAATTTGCCACAAATTATCAACTTTACCTTCTAATAATTAGCTATTCCTGGCATATTGATGAACTTTTATTATCTAGACTTATAGATAATTCAATTATCTTCAATTTAATGCCCTGCATGACTAATTTCAAAAAATATTTCACAAAAATTTTCCAAAATACAAAAAACTTTAAAATTCTTGAATATTTGTAAACTTTTAGTCACAATTCAACCTGCATAGTAATAAATTGAAATTTTTTCCAAACATTTATCAATTTTTTTGAATATTTCCAAGTTATAACTCTTCGCGCTGCATTCCTCGTGGTTGTCGTGAAGATGTCGAAGTCGTGCGGCTGGAAAGCTCGTTGGAGTCTCGTTAGCCACAAGACGAGGTGTATTATGCATTCCGATGCAAAGCTGCTCGTGGCCCAAGCACAACCTCACACACATACACCCAACAACAAGAAAGAAAAAAAAGAGGAACATGTGGAGTGAGTGCGAGTTGTGAGCCACGGTCGACGATCGTTGTGCAGCGTGAAAAGAAAGCACACACAACTGCATGCATACAAGCACCGAGCTTACCGAGGGGACCCGGAGGGGTAACGGACGCAAAAGAAGCAACACGACGCTAACAAGCCATTCCACATACCAGTTGCTGTTGCCGGCAAGCGCAACACAACAGAATACCACATCTCAGCGTCAGTGTGGCCCAAAGCACAGTGCGAGGTGGAGGTAGAAGAGGAGAGAACTTTTGGACTTGAGTAACAAGTCAGTTGTGCTCGTGTTGTTGAACCTGACTCACTGCCTCATCTCCACACGCGCAGAATCAACTTAAATTACCTTTTTAAATCAAAAGTAAAAATGTGATTGTTATTATCCAGTGTATTTTGGTATTACCATCATTATCGCCATGACCAGATTATATTATAATAACATTTGGTTATTGGTGTTGTGTGCGTGTTGGTGTTTGGTTGTTGCGGTCCCGTCCCCGGCGACCACTTCGAGACAATGTGAACCGATTCGGATTGAACTCTGCCAGAATCTCGGATACAACTCGACGCGAATGCCCAATTTGGGAGGGAATGAACTGCAGCAGGAAGCTGAATATATCTTGAAGTCTTTCAACCCTCTGATTGAGTACGGATGCAGCGCGCAGCTGAAGCTTTTCTTATGCAGCATCTACGCGCCGATGTGTACCGAAAAGGTGCCCACGCCGATTGGGCCATGTCGGTCCCTCTGCGAGAATGTTAAGCGGTTGTGTTTTCCTGTTCTTGAAGGTTTGTTATTTTTATTTTGTAGAAATTGTTTGAGTTTTGTTAAATTTAGCAGAAAAATGAGATTTTGATTTTTTTTCGGGAAATATTTTGATAACATGGAACTTTTTCTAAAATTTAGACATTTTGTGAAATTTTGAAAAAATTACGTTTTTTATTCTTTCCTTCAGTGGTTTTTACTCAATAACAAGGGAATTATAATTTCTGAACAGAGGTTTTTACTCGATTTAATCATTGTTATTTTAATACCACGTTTAAATAAGAAGTAATATTTTATTTGCATGTTTCCAATAAAAGTTAAACTCTGTTTGCTGGCGTCTAAATATAAACCCGCACTTCAAACAGCCGGAAGGAGTGAACTAAATAGTAAGGATGTTTGGGCATCACGTCAAAACATGCGCAATTTCATTAGCTCCACGCAATACATAAATTTGTTTATTCAAATTCGAACATTACTGTAATATTATCAAATTTCTACCTCAACACAAAAATATTACTTCAAAATTCAACTAAAAACAATAAAAACTCTGCTATTAAATTATTTAAACCTTAATTATCTTTTATTTACAACCAATTTATTAAATTTTGACAATTTTAATTTACCTATTGTGATCTTCCAGGTTTTGGTTTCGGTTGGCCTGACGCCCTAAACTGCTCCCGTTTCCCAAAAGAAAACAACCACGAGCATATGTGTATGGAAGGCCCTGGAGGGGGTTCCAAACCCCCAGAAACTGACCCCAAGGAAGACGTAACCATGACAAAACCACACTGGATGACAACCAATCAACAACAATGTAAAGATGGTTACGTCAATCTCCGAGAAGTCATCGGTAGACCTCTGATGCCAACCAATAATGGCGGCGGCTGCATTGCAATCTGTGACAGCTCCTTGCTCTTTGACGCTGCTGATAAAAAATTCGCAGAGGTGTGGGTGACAGTCTGGGCGGTCATCTGCTTAGTTTTCAGCCTGGCGTCAGCTATCACTTTGTGTATTGGAGGCGGCAGGGTCCGCATTCGTCCTTTGATGGCGCTGGCGTTATGTTACTGCTGCGTTGCGACGGGATGGATGATCCGTATAGTTGCTGGGAGGTATTCAATCGGTTGCAGGTATCAACTGAGTGAAGAACTTGAAGATGTCGGAGGCGGTGATTATGTGGTTGTACAGGATAGTGGAATAACTGGGAATGCAAAGTGCACGCTGGTGTTCTTTTTGATTTATTATTTTGGAATGGCTGCGAATGCATGGTAAGAAGATGTTTTTTGTTTTTAATATGTTTGAAGTAATTTTTTTTTGTTTTTTAAAGGTGGGTGGCTTTATGTATTTGGTGGTTATCAAAAGCGGCATTTGATTGGTCCACTGAACGCATGCGTAATGTATCAACGCTTCTACACGTGTTTGCTTGGGGTGTACCAGCGATCCAGACTGTTTTTGTTATTTTATTGAACAAAATTGATTCGGATGAACTTACAGGTAAACAAATCTCATTAGCAATTTGTTATTATATTATTATTTATGATAATCTTTGGTTTTTATAATTTTCAGGCGTTTGTAACGTTGGGAATCGTTCGCTTTCGTCTCTTCTGTATTTTGGGCTCGTTCCACAAGCTTTCTACTTGTTTCTAGGCATAAAAGTGCTTTTCATCGGTTGTTATAAGATTCTAACACGCCCCTTGCCAATTCCCGCCCCTATATCCGCCTTAACCACGCCTCTGACTCCGCTTACATTGCACTCCGCCCACTCACGACGTTCAGAAAAGAACAAAGACAGTGATTTATTGGGTGCTCTTGCTTGTGTGTATGTTATTCCAATGGCGTCTGTTCTTGGTTGCCTATGTTACGAATACAACCACCGTTTGTTCCTACAAGTCACACCAGATGGCCTGAATAATGGCAAAACACGTGCACAACTATCAATCTTCCTCCTGAAGCATTTAATGTCACTATTCATCGGTGTATCAAGTGTATTCTGGCTGTGGTCTTCAAAGAGTGTCGTTGCATGGCGGACAACATTACAACGCGTAATGCCGAAACGCCTTCAGAAGCAACTCCCACTGACAAACACCAATATGCCTAATATACACGGGGCAGGGCAACAGATGGCACTGCAAGTACGTGCATCGTCAGTGGCGACGCCTGTAGGACGGAGTCAAAGCCACAATCGAACATTAAGTACTTCTTTAAGTACTACACTGAGTACAACTGCGGGGAGTAGGCAGAGCAATCGACGGAGGGATTACTATCACAGGAGGAATTAAAACTAAAAGTAAAAAGAGAACAATGTAATTATAGACATACACAGAAACCTGATTATTTATTTAGAAAACGGAGAGACAAAAGAGTTGATAGACATTAGTGGGATGAATGTTGTGAGGAGGGTAGAGTATATATAAGGAAACAAATGCATCCTCGCTTGGAGTTATTCGGAATTATGTATTACTATTTTAGTGTATAGTGTTATGATCGGTGCCATTGCTTTAATTTATGATTTATGTTTATTTATACGATGAATAAATGTCATTTTCTTATTTTTTAGAACGTTTATGTTTTATTTCTAACTAAATTTTGCTCGCAACTCTTTCATCCCTTATTTAACACTCTTTAAGCCATAATTTTTAATATTTTAATTTTAAAAAATCATAAATTATCAAAATCTGTCCAGCCATTCTTGAGTTATAAATGTTGTAACTAACTTTGTTTCAAAAATATTGATTTTGCGACAGTTTTTGAACTGATTTAACAAAAATCTAGACAAAACGTTATTTAAAGAACAACTTACTTACAACTTATCTATTTTTTATCCTTGTAAATAACTTATTCTATGGCAAACTATCTAGATAGTTAATAATTGTTGTTTTACAAGTCTCTGGAAATGAGACCCTTGTGCCATTCACATAACTGCACCCAGCACGCATGGCATCCACCACACAATATAAATATCCAAAGAAATTCAACTCTACAACAAAAAAATAAAATAAACCTACTGAAATAACACATCAATACAATGCATAACATACCAGCTGGAACAAACCTAACCAAAACTTTGTACTGCTCAATCATCTTGCACAGATTTTCGATCATATCTTGCCTGCTTGGTTCATTTGCTCTCAGACGAATTTTATGTAGATAAGCTGAATAAACATTGTTAAACAAAACATATTCACGATTAATTTCGTTTATTTACTCACTGTGGTCTGTAGCAGCTGCGAAACTTGCTAATAAAGCAACCATGATAAAAAATCTCATTTTTATTTGAATGACAAAAACTGTGAATTCAGTTTAAAGTGTTGTTTGTATAAATAGAAGTTAGTCACTGATTGATCAATAACAATGCGTCGGTTTCTTATAATAATTGCAAACATAAAAAATTTCAAAAACAAAACTAATTGGAGTATTTTCAGTTATCAGCGCAACTATTCTACAATAACAATTATTTACTACGATAAGTACGAGTAAGTAAGATATTTTTAGTGACAACCACGTGTCCACGTGTATAAAATTTTAATAATTAAAAAAAATAAAATAAAAGATTTAATAACAATTATTTCTTAAAACTCTGCTGAATCTCTTCAAGAGTTTTCCCTTTGGTTTCCGGTACAAACCAATAACTTATCAGGATACTTATCGCACTACAAATAGCTACACACAAAAACGCAGCGTATAACCCAGCTATATCCAAACAAAACGCAAAAACCATCGCAGAAGACGCCATGGAAAATCCATAAAATATATTCATAACCACAAATGCTTTACTCTTCACACTGGATGAAAACAATTCACCTAAAATTGAAGTAGGAACCAGTCCCAATCCAATTGAATAGAATATCACGAATATAACCATTGATATCAACGGAAACATTTGAAATCCATTTAAGGTTATATCTGTTTCATCCTGTATATAAAAGAATGCTGTTTGTATGAATAAAACTACACTGCTTCCGGTACAACTGATCAACATAGCTCTCCTACGTCCAAGAATATCCAAAATAAAAGATGTAACAAATGTGCATATAAGTAAAATGCCTGTGAATACAATGGCGGACATGCTTGGAGATAGATCACTTCCGGATTCCATGAATATTGTCTGCGCATAGACTGTAAAAGCGTTTATTCCGGAAAATTGTTGGCATGCTCTGGTGAGTATTCCAATCAAACAAGCTTTTCGGTTGGATGATATTTTTATGAGGTCATAATAACGTCCAGGTTCTGACAGTTGACGTTGGACGTCATTATTGAGTTGTGTAAGCTCCTCCTCTACATAGGTGGCGCTAGTATTTCGTAACCATTGAAGGGAGGAGCGTGCATCATCAACTCTTCCTTTCATCAATAAATAATACGGTGTTTCTTTGATGAAATAATAATTTAAAAGAAACATTACTGGGATAAGTAGACTTAAGTATGCTGTGTGGGCAATTGAGAGATATGCTCCTATGATATTAGCTAAGAACTGTCCGATGAAGATTGAAAATGCAACACTGGTTCCCCATGTTCCTCTAATAGATGGCGTGGATATTTCAGTGACGTAACATGGGATTGTCGTGAAGACACAGGCGTCACCTATTCCGTTGAATACACGTGCTGTGTAGTAGATGTAGAGGGGGCGTGGGAGGTACCAGAAGGTGAAGTCTGTTGTTGATATTGTTGTATTAGCAGCTAATGCAATAAGTATCCAACAGATGCAGTATGATATTGTCACACTTAAAATTGCAGGACGTCTTCCGATCCAGTCTATTAATTTACCAACTAATGGACTTGCAATAATGGCTGTCACAGGTGGAATTATTGTTAAGTAGGTGGCTTCTTCCATTGACACGCCTTGTTGGCGGAGAATTGGGATTGTAGGTGATGGCCATGACATAAATTGACCGGTTGTAATTGTATTTAAAGAAACTAAGTAAAATTTAAATAAATTTGATTTTAAAATTAAAAAATTATTATTTAAAGGTTATTACCTGTGAATATTGTATAAATCTGCCGCCATTGTTTACTATCAGTGGATCTATGTTCAACAGCCATTTTTTATTTGTTTATTTGTAATAAAATTAATTAAACTCATTTGTATTAAATTATAATAAATTAATTTTGAAGATTCTGGTTTAATCACATAATTTACTTAGCACTGCTGTAAACCATACTAAACATGTGAGAATTTGTGATAAATTCATGTGTTCTTATCACTGTTATCATCCATAACAAGTCTATAAATCATTCGTTTGCAAAATTTAGTAAAAAATTAATTATATTCCACAAAAACATTTAAACTAACACTTTTAAACAAAATATTTTAATTTCCTGACTTATTTAATCAATAATTATTATAAACAAATAATATTTAATTAATATATATGTTTTATTAAACATACTGTATAAAAATAAAGCTTTAAGATCTTTGACCTTGCTTATCATCTAAATTCGTGAATTTATTACAATATTTTATCATGATTTAGCATCTCAACAGCGTTTCCATGAGTTCATTCGCACTTTAACAGCTTCCCGATGTATTACTTCACATCTCCGACTCTGCTTAGTTGATTTAGTTGATTCAGTGATAACGACGCATTGCTAATGATAAGTGTTGAATGAATTACCATTACCTCTTGACACGATGACTTGAATTAAACTTAAAAATACAAGAAGTAAATAAAAACTTTCTTCGGTAGTTTAATTAAAATATAAAATGGATGTTAGTGTAAAACAAGATGGCGGAACACAATGGCGTCAAATATATTCAATAATAACAGGTAAATAATTATTTTTCTTAAATTAAAAACAATATTTTGTATTAATTTGATTGCAGTTTGTTTAAATTCAATTACAACTGGTTTATTATTATCATGGACATCACCTTCAATCCCCTTACTACAACAGGAAGGCGTGTCTATGACCGAAGCCTCCTATTTGACAGTAATACCGCCTTTGACATCAATCTGTGTAAGTCCCTTCGTTGGTAAATTAATCGATTGGATCGGACGACGTCGTGCTGTGTTAAGTGTAACACTATCATACACTATCGCCTGGCTTTTAATTATATTAGCAAATAATATAACAATAAGCCCCGCCCCTGGGTACCTCCCACAAATCTACATTTACTACGCAGCACGTGTATTCACTGGCATAGGTGACGCCTGTGTCTTCACAACAATTCCAGGTTATGTCACTGAGATAGCCACGCCTGCAGTGAGAGGAACATGGGGCAACTGCATCTCTTTATCAATTTTATTCGGACAATTCCTAATCAACTTAATTGGTGCTTACCTGTCCATAGTAAACACAGCATATGTTTGTTTACTTCTTCCAGTGGTTTTTCTGGTAAATTTTATGTTTATCAAAGAATCACCGTATTATTTATTGATGAAAGGAAGAGTTGATGATGCACGCTCCTCCCTTCAATGGTTACGTGGTGCTAAAAGCCCCGCCCATGTCGAGGAGGAGCTTATAAAACTCACCAGTGATGTCCAACGTCAAATGTCAGAAACAGGGCGGTATTATGACCTCATAAAAATAAAATCCAATAGAAAAGCTTGTTTAATAGGTATAGTCATCAGAGCAGTCCAGCAATTATCAGGAATATCTGCTTTTTCTTACTATTCACAAACAATATTCATAGAATCCGGAAGTGATCTATCACCTAGCATGTCCGCCATTGTTTTCACCGCCATTTTGTTCATATGCACATTTTTGGCTTCCTTTGTTTTGGATATACTTGGACGTAGAAGAGCTATGTTGATCAGTTGTGCGGGATGCAGTTTAGTGTTATTCATACAATCAGGTTTCTTTTATATACAGGATGAGACGGAAATAATCATGGAAGGATTCCAAGTGTTTCCTTTGATATCAATGGTGACTTATGTGTTCTTTTATGCGATAGGACTAGGATTAGTACCTACTTTGATACTGGGTGAATTATTTTCATCCAGTGTGAAAAGCAAAGCTTTTGTGGTTATGAATATGTCTTTTGGTATATCAATGGCGTCTTCAGCACAGATTTTTGCTGTTTGTTTGAGTACTGCTGGATTGTATGCAGCGTTTTTGTTTTTGGCAATTTGTACGATGGGAGGTATAGGTGTAAGTTATTATTTGTACCGGAAACAAAAGGGAAAACTTTGGAAGAGATTCAACAAGGTTTTAAAAAGTAAAAAGTGTAAAAATGTAAATTTTACATATGCTTTTTACTATAGGCAACCAACGTTGTCAGTATTCCATTGAATGAATGTGTCTTCATGTAATTAAAGAAATATAACACAATATTTAAGTAAACATTAATTATCACATTGTAAATGAGTCTACATTGTATATATTATTATCTAAAGTACTGCTAATTAAACAATATGTACCAAAATTACAGATATGACAGTTTTTTGACCTTGTTTGCTGTGTGAATTCGTTACTTTCTCATATTTTAACATTTTAAGCATTTTTGGCTGTTTATTTGCAAATTTCCAGCATCCACAGTGAGTTTGTACTTCTCCTATACCTTTCAGTTGATTCAGTGATAACGTCGCGTCTGTGATAAGTGTTAAACACTTCAACATATTTAATTGTTACCTCTTGACACCATGACTTGAATGAATAAAAATTTTCTTCTTGACTATTCAATAAATACGTGACCCAACTGAAAGCAGAATTAGTTTAATAGAATACAAAATGGTCGTTGATGTTACTTACCATCAAAATGGTAAACAATGGCGGCAAGTATACTCAATATTAATAGGTAAGTAAATAAATTTTATTTGTTTTTTTTTTAATTTTTAAATTTTAAATTTTAGTTTGTTTAAATACAATATCAACTGGTCAGTGCCTAGCATGGACATCTCCATTCATACCAATCCTCCGCCAACAAGGCGTGTCCATGGAAGAAGCCACCTACTTATCAATAATCCCACCTTTGACAACAATAATAGCAAGTCCATTAGTCGGTAAATTAATAGACTGGATTGGAAGACGTCCTGCAATATTAAGCGTGACACTATCATACACCATCTACTGGCTACTAATAATAATAGCAGCTAATGCAACAACAAGCCCCGCCTCCGAGTACCTCCCACGCCCCCTCTACATTTACTACGCAGCACGTGTATTCAACGGCATTGGTGACTCCTGCGTCTTCTCAACAATCCCATGCTACGTCACCGAAATAACAACGCCATCTGTACGTGGCACATGGGGAAACTGCATCTCTTTATCCATCTTCTTCGGACAGTTCCTAATGAATATAATAGGATCATATCTATCCATAGCCAACACAGCATACGTATGTTTACTACTTCCATTGGTGTTTATTTTAAATTATTTCTTCATCAAAGAAACACCGTATTATTTACTGATGAAAGGAAGAGTTGATGATGCACGCTCCTCCCTTCAATGGTTACGTAATACAAGCGCCACCTATGTAGAGGAGGAGCTTATACAACTCACCAGTGATGTCCAACGTCAAATGTCAGAAACAGGGCGGTACTATGACCTCATAAAGATATCATCCAATCGAAAAGCTTGTTTGATTGGAATACTCATCAGAGCCTCACAACAATTCTCAGGAATATCTGCGTTTTCTTATTATTCACAAACAATATTCATCGAATCCGGAAGTGATCTATCTCCTAGCATGTCCGCCATTGTTTTCACTGGGATTTTATTCATCTGCACATTTTTCGCTTCTTTTGTTTTGGATTATCTTGGACGTAGAAAAGCAATGTTGATCAGTTGTACTGGATGCACTCTAGTGTTATTCATACAAGCAGCTTTCTTTTATATACAGGATGAAACAGAAATAATCATGGAAGGATTTAAAGTGTTTCCGTTGATATCAATGGTGACTTATGTGTTGGTTTATGCTATTGGATTGGGACTGGTTCCTACTTTAATGTTGGGTGAATTGTTTTCATCAAGTGTGAAGAGTAAAGCATTTGTGGTTATGAATGTATTTTTTGGAATATGTATTGCTTCATCAGCGGAGGTGTTTGCGGTTTGTTTGAGTGTGGTTGGGTTGTATGCAGCGTTTTTGTTTTTGGCGATTTGTACGGCGGGGAGTATAGGGATTAGTTATTGTGTTGTTCCGGAAACTAAAGGGAAGACTTTGGAAGAAATTCAGCAAGGATTTAAACAATAATTGATTGTAATTGTAGTTAAAGTGTAAATAATAAAAAATAATTGATTTTAAGTGGAAATTATTGTTGGGGAATTATTTAAGCTCCTCCTTTTTAGGGTGGAGCAAATATACAATGTGTTGAATCTAATTATTAATGATTTCATCAATTAATTATTGTTTAATAACTATGCCTTGTGAAGGATAAACGCGTTTTTAATTTTGTTATATCAATAAGCATCATTTTGTAGAAATCTATTATTTTAATGTTTACAAATGTGTGACGCTATATCGCATATAAAGACAGCCAGTAAAACTACAATAAAAATAAAAATGTTGGATATTCCAGAATATACGACTATTATCTATTGACTGAAAAATTATCTGTTTTAACAATTTTTGTTAATAATTAAACTTATTTTGCCTAGTTATTTATTCTGTGATATAGCGACTTGTCCGTCCGAAAACGTCAAGCATGGCAACGGTGTAGAAGTCAAGGTCAAAGGGCCAGCGCGTACACTGAATGTCAGACATACTTTCGCTGATGTAGGCTTCAATTGGACTCTACGAGCTGTCAAACATAAGTTTATCGGGGTGGAAGGTACCGGGGCACATAAAGGAAATGAATCCGGTCCTGGAATATTATCAGAAATAGGTTTTAAGTTAGGTTATGATACTTAACCTATTTTTATGAGTAACAACTTACCAACTACACGCGTTATGACGTTCTCATTATTGAAGAGTAACTGAATTGTCAGTTTTAGTTCTTCAAGGTTGTAATCAATATTGACACATGCTATATACAACAAAATTTTAATTTTAAAGTATTTGATTGATTAATTAATTAATTTTGATTTACCTCTTTGTGTCATGTTATTAAAAGGAAATTCTACGCAGCAAACACATCGTAATCCTGCACACTCGCAACGACCATCAACGGCTGCATAACTTTCACTTATCAGCACACTCAAGATAACAAAATAAATCAGTTTTTTCAACATTTTTACTGTTTACAGTTAATATGAATAAATGAATCTAGGTCGACTCGAAACATGGTTTTTATTTGCATACAAAAGTTAAATTTATAATAGTTTAATTAATTTCCGGTTTGTTGTTTGTTGTTGTAACGTAATTTTATTTTTATTGCAACAAATTATAGTTGTAATAATATTTAATCATATCATAATGTTATTTCTTGGAAAATGATTAGAATTTAATTTATACATTACTATTTTTATCAGAAATTGTTTTATCTTGATTTTAGTAAAAGTAGTTTCCAATAATGACGTAAAGCGCCATCTAGGTTTGAATTATATAACTAAAACTATGACTAAATCAGCATATTAACTTTAAACCCTTATTTCACACCTTTCCAAGTATAATTTTGATACCAAACTTTACAATATTATCTATTGACCTATTCTGATCATTGTCTGAAAATTTTATCAAAATCCATAAAAAGGTTTCGTAGTATAATGGGAACATACATACACTTACAATTGACATATACTGATTCATGTCAACTTCATCATTCCACCCATTTTCTAAATTTCGCTCCGCTTCAATGTTTTATTTATCGTTTTACTTCTCCATTCAGGGGGAAACAAATCCCCTGGAGAGTGGATGATACTAAACGCTCTCGGGCTCAAAGACTGCGTCTGCTCTAAACCTGACGCTGACCCTGAGACTGAAAAATTTCCCCCTTTATGGAAGACTAGAAGACTGGGAGACTGAAAGTGTGTGTAAGGCGAGTAAGCGGGACGATAAGGAAACGAAGCCCAGGGAGGAAGCGGAACGCAACGAGAGTGGACTTCGGGGAATTAACCTCAAAGTCGATTTGTTTGATTGCCGCTGATTATCCGATGACTCAGCGCAATCGTTTTGCAAAAGCCAAAATTGAGATAAAACCGGCCACAAAACCAAAATTACGTAGGAAAAGTGCAGCAAATATGAATTAAGTTAGTTTTTTGTTTATAACTCCGAAATTATTAAACGTACATTATTGAAATTTACAATATTAAATCTTAGATAAATTAGCTATAGAATGATATATAACTTAATATTATATGATTTTTATCTCGGTAATTACAGGCCTTGAAAGTTGATTAAAAAATCAGTTTCCGAGTTATGAATTTTTCTGCAATAAATTCATGTTTTTGTTCATAACACGCAAACCATAACACTTACATGTTTAAAAATTTCAAACTAAGTTCCTACATAAATTCCCTATCATATAACATCTCACTAAATATTCTACGACTTTAATGTCCAGAGTTATAGCGCCGCAAACTTGAACAAGTAATACACACACAGTTTTCTTAAGAATTGAAAGTTTGAAAAGCAATTCTCCACGTCGAGACTTCATATTCGCGCAATAAATCGAAGATTTCTTTGACTCACGCCTGCACACAATTTGCACTCGAGTTTCAGTGGCGGGTTCAGGTGGACTGCGATTTTCCGTTCTAACAGTTAAAACTGTTATACGTAGCAGTTAAAATCGTTCCGACTCACAACTTGCTTCATCGGCTTTACGACGCCGTAAAAATTTTTCACTCTCCGGATGTGGATGCATGGCATGCACACCTAATACTCTAACAAGTCATTCGTTCGTATTTTAGTTTTTCGCGTTTTATTGTCCACGGCGGCGCATATTATTGACGGCAAATTAATTTCCCAGCAGTTGGGTAATTGCATTTGCAACTGCCGCTGCACTTTATTATTGCGCTCAATTTTATCGTAATTGTGTGTAATTGTTGGACGTTAAGTTAAGGGTTGTTAGGTATTATCGTTTATTGTAGTTTTATTGACGTTTTGCAGGTATTTTTTTGTAAAAAATAAAAATGAAATTTTTAAATAGAGTTTTGAGGCATTTCTAATTAATTTATGAATATAGTTTAAAATTTGGCAAATAGAGAATTTTATACTCTATCAAATACAATTTAAAATTTTAAAATCTATTAAAATTTTAAAAAGTTATTGAAGATTTTATAAAAGTTTATTTTTTTGGTATCAAGATGAATTTTTATTGTGCAATTTTAAAAGACGTTTTTATTGTACTTGTAAGCACTTTAAATAATTAAAACTGAATGCATATGTTAGATAATTATTCAGAGTATACAGAATAAACAACAAAATAAAAATTAAATAATTATTTTGGTAGATACAAGGCGTTTTAATAAAAAAATATCTCAAATTTATCCCAAAATGCATATTTTTGGTGTTTTTTCTTAATTAAAATGATGTTTAAGTAACTTTCTTATCAATTTTTTTAAAATTTGATTAACCTGTGTAATAGAGCAGCTCTTAGAGTATAAAATGCCAAAACAATAATTAATATCCATCAATAACTTTAAAAGTTATTTAACTTTTTCCGAAATTCAAAAAAAGCTTTTAAAATGGCAACAAACGTAAAGCATCTTCGAAACAGACGATCAAGAAAGCATCGCTGTCGTTTTGACATGATAATAACACTGCGCACAAAGATGCACGTCTTCTTGCCCTCTGCGTTATTGATGCGTTTCGGCGGCGAACAGAGATCTCTCTCCTTTTTAAACTTGGCGCGCTGGCGGGACTCCCAGCAGGACTTCAAAGGCTAGGATGGCGCAGATCTGGGGGCAATTCCATTTATCGGCCGGATCGCCCGGATCGCTTACTTAAACCGACTTTTTTCGCGCTGCTGGCGCGCGCGCGGCCCCCCGGTCGGAGTTCAAAGTCGTCGACGACTATAAAGAAAGATTAAAGAGGGATCAACGTCGCGGCGCCGTCTTGCCGATTGCACAAAGCGCCGCCAAAAGGAGAGTCAAAAGGAGGACGAGACATGGCATGAAATTGAACGGCGGGAGGAAGCGTTTTGCCTATTTTCTCGCTCGCAAATGACACACTTGCATATTTATTCCCGAAGCGGGCGAAGCAAAGCGCGCACTTTGCGCCCACATAACTGGGGTAGTTTTGATGGAGTGGTAACGAGCTTCGTATCACTGACAGATGATTTACTTGTGCTTCTTTTGAGCGCAAAACGGTAATTGTATCTTTTGTATTTTAGAAAATATTTAAAAAATAGTAAAATATTACAAAAATCAAAAAATAAAAATATTTTATGATTTTATTTATATTTTATTTTATAACAATTGCAATTTTAGAGATAAATTAATATTTTTCGTTTCAAACTGTAGTCAATAAACCCACAAATAATTGGTGAAAATTTTAATTAAATAAAAAATATACTTTAAAAGTTATTCACAATCAAAGTAAAAAATTTAAATTTTTGGTAGTAAAAATTTATATTTTAATTAATATCGTTTAAAATTTATTACTAATAAAATCTTCACTATGCATAAATGAAAGCTGATTAAATTCCCTTTAATTTGATACCTTACAGTGTAAAATATTCCGGTTAATAGCGGAGTTATTCGTGTTTTAATCCAAATGCAATTTTTTTGGTTTTTGATGACGTTCATTAATTTTCCGCTGGAATTTGCTGGAATTTTTGCATTTTCCTCAACGACGCAATGATTTTCACCCTCATTTTAGCGAACAACTAGTTACCCTTTACAAAAAGGGGGCGCAAGCACAGTCGAAATTATTACCGCGACATAATGGAATTCTTATCTTAAGAACTTGAGCGGTTTCGCGCGTTTTTTTTTCTTTTTCAAGAAATTTCCACTAAGAAGAGCCGAGGAATTTCTGCGGCGTGGCTAACATTAGCTCAATGGCTAATTTCTTCTAGTGATTTCATTTGTAAGAAAAGAGTTGAATTTTAAAGCGTTTAACCTCACTTAACCTCAGAAAACAAAAAAAAAGTAGTTATGCAACCAAGTAGACATAACTATAACTAATTTTAGTTTCTTTTGCGGATTACAAACGCATTAATGGAGCGATTTTAATTGTTCAAACGTTATTCTCTCACAAAATAATCAAATTTTAAGATAAACTTTAAAAAACAATAAAATCAGGTTCGTATTAAGTAAAAATTATAAAAAATGTTAAAAAATTTAAATTTTTGGTGAATAAACATCGATTTTGCTTCTATTTTCAGTCCGAATGTAATTAAAATAAACGCGTGCGTGTCGCCAGACGTCGCTTGCGTTTACGATACAAGTGTTACGAGAAAATCGCGTGTGTGCCCGCCGGAAAAGTCAATTTTTTGTTGTGCTCCGCGTGCAAATGAGAAAAACTCCACTCGAATTACTTGATTGTGGCTGTGGCGATTGGATCCGCGATTAGCGCACCGTTTTCTAAGGTTTTCCAGCCTGGTCATATAAGTTTCATAACATTTCCCAACAGTTTCTTACGTCTGCGTGTTTAAGTCTGAAGGGTGAAATCGGAAAAACTCGGAAAATGCATTTAATTTTCTCGTGTCAACGGCGACCATAAAATGATAAGTTAATAATACACATATTATAAATTTAAAATTATAATAATAATAATAATAAATGTGATTCTTAAAGGTTGAATTAATTCCAAATGAATTTATTATTAATTATATTTGTTTATTTACAGATTATTGTACAATACCAATGAGGAAAACATGAAAAATCCACTAGAAAGCGAAAATATTAGCGAATTTTACAATTTTTTGCGGAAGCTTCGAAAAATTATGTTTTTTTAATGTTTTTTCAAATGTTTGTATTTGTTTTCAGTCTTGGCGTGTAAATTTCCACATTCACAGTGTCAGTATCTTAATCACCACCAAAATATAAGGAAAAACAAAACATAACCTAAAATACGTACAATAAATAACAAAAACAAGCTCGGATGCAGCGTAAAAACTAAATAAAACGCGCAAACAAAAGAGGAACCATCAAAAGCTGTATTATACAACAAGTAATTAAAAATACAGAAGTAGTGATCTAACTTACCGACCACGATCATTCTGGCTTCACTCTGCGCAGAAGCAAATGACGGTGCTTCTGCTGATACTTCACAGCTGTAGAGACCACTACTGCGCAGACTCACCGTGCGTAATACAACTTTTCTACTGTCAGACAAAGAAATCTAACCAAAACAATTAGTATAGAGTTATAACCTTTAAATTATTGTG